ATACACTAAAACAAGCCCAATTTAAAAAGCATAACAAAATGGAGCAATTGAAACAGGTGGATAAAGCGGTTCAAATTCAGGTGAACCCTAGTTTTAAAGAGCCGGTGAAATGCCCATACTGATAAGGTTGCTTGTATTTTGGTGGGGAGGGTATTTCAATATGCTGTTTCCACCACTGAAAAAGCTTGCTTATGCGTTGACTAATAATCAGCAGTAAAAACAGCCTGATTCCTTCTGCTGATCATAATTCACTTACAGGTCAGTGAGTAGTGGGTGTGGGGACATGTTGCTGAGTAATCTGGTCCAGACTTTTTCAGGGCTTTAAAACTGGCTCAGTGACTAATAGGCAGCCTCTGTATGTACAGTCGTACCTTGGAAGTCGAACAGAATCCATTCCGGAAGTCTGTTCAACTTCCAAAACGTTTGGAAACCAAAGCGCAGCTTCTGATTGGCTGCAGGAAGCTCCTGCAGCCAATCAGAAGCTGTGGAAGCCCTGTTGGATGTTCAGGTTCCAAAGAACGTTTGGAAACCGGAACACTCACTTCTGGGTTTGTGGCGTTCAGAAGCCAAACGTCTGAGTACCAAGGCATTTGGGATCCAAGGTACAACTGCATATATCAAAAGAGCAGGCAATCCATTCTGGACTGAAGTTTTGCAAAGAGCTCTCTTTTTTAAAAAAATAATTTTTATTAACCGACCAATCAAATCAAATCAAATCAAATCACATCACATAAATTCCGAATTACAAAGCCGAATTTCAATTTTTTTTTGTTGGGGGGACCCATATTTCAAGTTCCGAAGGGGATTCCAATCATCTTCTTGCTGCTGCGTTAATATCCACAAATCTGTCCAAATAATGTTCATAATTCTATCCAGTCCTATCTTGCTGTTCCCACATCTCATCTTGTTCATATATTTTTCTTTTTTTCTTTATGATCTCTTCTGATAATCTCCTTAAGCAGATAAACTCCAATTATAATCCTGTTTGAATTTTTCCATTTGTCCAATCATCATGTCGAGATGGTTTCCATATATATCATCACTTTCATAAATAAAAGCACTCTTTCCATCATTAGTCTCGCAAATCTGTCGCCTTCTTTAGTCCCTCTGAGGAGGCTCACCCACAATATGAAAACAGATCTATTCCTCCTCCCAGATATAAGTCTTTCGACAGAACTTGCCAAAATGGCGACGCTATTTTTTGCTGCGTCATTCCAAAACTCTTATACTTTCCACGATCTCCTTAAAATATGCTTTGGTTAGAAAATTATCTCCACACAGTCTTAAATCCTCAGCTTAAGTCCTTTAAACGGCATTTCTGACTTGTGACTTGTGGGGGGGGGGATTCTTGGTTAATCACATAGAGAAAAGAAAGGAAAGTTTTTTCCCCCCAGTCCCGTTGCCGAACATACCGAGCCTTGGTGTGTCTTCTCATGATTTATTCCTGTTCCTCCGACCCGTCTTGTTTCTCAGAGATCTCTTCAGTTAGCAGTCTTTACTCCCCATTCTTCCTTGAAATATGTGCATTAGCTTCCTCCTAATTGTTTCTTTTGTTTCGCAGCTAGAGGCGCGAATCAGAGACAGCGTCCAGGAGCGCTGAAATCCGCACAAGGGCTTTCTGCCTAGTGCCCCCACCCCCTCAAATTCGGGGGTGGTATAGGGCATAGCAGGCAAGGGTAGCCCCCCCCCACACGTTTGGGGGGGCCAGGAGCCTGTGTACTCCCATCACAGCCTCTTAATTACCTCGTGTGGGTCGGAGAGATGTTATTGTCAGCCATCTTCTGATGTGCCCCTAGTGGGCCCCCCCCCCCCGAAGTTTTGCAAAGAGCTCTCAATCTGAAAGTAAAATTTCTTTTCCAAAACTCAGTCCAGCAGAATTAGAACAAATAGTGAAACAATTTTGGGCAGATTAGGTCCTTTCCCTCCATCTGTTCCATGAAAAAAGCCAGTTTTCCTGAAAGAAAGAAAGAAAGAAAGAAAGAGAATTCCTAATATGGTATGATGACTCGAATCTTGGAAGCAGAACATGAAACAGCTGATGTATTTCACTTTGACAAATAGTCTGTGCTGACCTTTTACAAATTTGCCAGTAGGGTTAGACTGACAAATTACTTTCACAATGGGACTTATTAGACTCCCAGAATAATATTATAAGCATCACTTTCAGGAAACTGGAGTTCAGACCGTGTCAGCACTTCCATTTTTCAGAGAGGTTTATAACTCAGATGCAAAAAAGAAAAAAGAAAATAAAATCACTGTGGGCAACAAGTCGACACGCGACATCTCGGAGTGAAAGTTGCCTTAATGGCTTTTGCAAAATAGAACGTTGCTAGCTTGTGGCAGTTTTGTGCCTGTTTGCAATCTCAAAACCAAGCTTTTATTTCACAGAGCGACTAGCTTTAGGCAGCAGGCTTACCATGGGAAAACACTTAATCAAGACTTCAGCTCTATGTACACTTACATGGCAACACGTCCCATTAATTTCAGGGGACCTTACTTACGGATTAACATGCAAAGCGTCCGGCCGAGCGTTTAACTTTTAAAAGATTTGCAATTTATCATTCCCAGACTGCAATGCTTTCTGTTGGGAAGCTATTCAGCCCTCAGGTTCCCAGTCTGGCTCTGGTCCAAGGTAATAGGAGTATTTTAAACTGACTTCCAACTGGCTTTACAAGATGTAGACTTTTAGTGCTATCAACATATTCCTGGCGTTGCAGCCTTTGGGGAGGTTTGATAATATTGAATTCTTGCCTAAGGGATGAAGGCTAAAATATATTCTTCCTGTTTGCTGGGGTCCATCTAGCTTTGCCTGTTATTTATGGGGATGTAAATGAAAATTGGAGTTGTATTTTAGTTTTATGATGAGCTATTGCATGGTTGGGACGGCGCACACATCGGAACATGCACCAGCGCTGCTACAGGGCCATTTTCCAAGAGGAAAAGACAGCAGAACTGTTAAGAACATAAGAAGAGCCTGTTGGATCGGGACAATGGCTCATCTGGAACAGGATGCTATTCCCACAGTGGCCAAGCAGATGTCTATGGGAAACCCTTACGCAGGCTTTGAGCACAAGAGTCCTCTCCCTTCCTGAGGTTTGTGATTCCAGGACCCGCCACCCGCTTAAGGATAAGAAAGACACATGGACACAGTATATTAGGTTAATGGGCTAAAAAAGGCCACAACTTTATTGACTATGGCATGAGAGAGGTATTGGCTTAGGCACTGGATAAAACAACAGAGCGTGACTCCGCCCCCTCAGGGAGGGGTGAGTCTAACAAGGGTTAACTACCAGTAGGAGGAGCCTGTTGATGCAAATACAACTGAAAGCTCCTCCTGATGTCACCGGGGGTCGTGCCATGGCCCTAGCCCCCAGCAAGGGCGTCGGACAGGATCCACGACCACTGGATTTCTTTGACGCAGCTGTTCTCAACCTGTGGGTCCCCAGGTGTTGTTGGACTACAACTCCCATCATCCCTGAGCTCTGGCCTTGCTAGCTAGGGGTGATGGGAGTTGTAGTTCAACAACATCTGGGGACACACAGGTTGAGAAAGGCTGCTTTAACGGAATGCCCATAAAGTGGAGGGGTAGGCGATGGCCACACCCTGCCCTCCAATACACAAACATATTCCAATGCCTAACCGCCAATACCTAAAAAGTTGTGACGATTTGCTACGAGGTAAGCGAAAACCAAGTGGCCGGTGCCAATTTGCCAGTTGGATAAAAAATCCTACCAGGCCCCTTGGCCAACCAAGGCGGCCAACCATAGGTCCATAGCAAGGTCAAGAACAAAGCAAAGAACTAAAGGGAGGGAGGGTGGGTGATCCGACGAAAACCAGCAGCGCAGTGAGAGGGCAGTGCTGCCACGGCCTCATTTGAGCGGCTAACCCCACCCGAGCCTCCGCCTGATTGGCTGGCTGCTAGGGGGTGCGGTGCGCAGCCGGGACAGCTGAGCAGGGGCCGGAACGCCCCCTGCCAACGCGGGAAACAGCTCCCGCTCACAACTCCTCCCCTCTGGAAGGGGGAGAGGCTTTCCAGCAACGAGTATTCAGAAGCATTACAATGGTACCATGGTTCTAGAATGGCTTAGTTGCCAAACCAATTGGCTCCTGAACTTGGAAGTGAGTGTTCCGGTTTGCGAACATTTTTCGGAAGCTGAATGTCTGACGTGGCTTCCGCTTGAGTGCGGGAAGCTCCTGCAGCCAATCGGAAGCTGCGCCTTGGTTTTCAAGTGGTTTCGGGAGTCGAACGGACTTCTGGAATGGCTTAAGTTCAAGAACCAAGGTACCACTGTACTGTCTCCAATGGTGGAGGTGGAGCATCATGGCTAGCACCCATCAATAGCCCTCTCCTCCATGAATTTGTGTAATCCCCTTTTAAAATAATCCATGTTGGTGGCCACCACTGCGTCCTGTGGGAGTTCCACAGTTTAACTAAATTTAACTAAGTGTGAATTTACCAAACAGAACCATAGAATTGGAAGGTACCCTGGCCTTTAATTTGAATTCAGCCTGATCTTTCATTTCCCTTCCCTTTCCTCCCCCTCCCCTTTTATGAAGATCACCCGCTCTGAGACCCCACAGCTAATTCTCCCCTGGGCTCCTCACTGGCCCAAGTAGGACCAATTCAGCCAGCTAGCCCTGGGGATTATCTAATGCTTATTTCCCCTAAATTGATTTTTGAATTTTATTGTTATTCATGTTTTTATACTGTATTTTATGCTGCTTTTATAATTAAGTGTATTAAATTTGTTGTTCGCCGCCCTGAGCCCGGTTTTTGAACCGGGAAGGGCGGGGTATAAATAAAATAATAATAATAATAATAATAATAATAGTCATCCAATCCAACCCCCAGTCACACTTCTTTGAAGTCTCCCAGCCCCACTCACCTCACAGAGTGTTTGTTGTGGGGGAAGAAGGGAAAGGAGAATGTTAGCTGCTTTGAGACTCCTTCGGGTAGTGATAAAGCGGGATATCAAATCCAAACTCTTCTTCTTCTTCTTTGCTCAAGGTAGGGTTCGAACCCATGACCCTCAGATTAAAAGGCTCGTGCTCTACCAACTGAGCCATCCCTTGGGTTTTCTCTGTCCACTTTCTCCATGCCATGTATAATTTTATAAATTTCAATAAAGGAGGAGGCAAAGCAAGGCTTGTAGGGAGTATGGCTGTGGAGTAGATGTGACCTTAGGAGATTCCCAAGAGCCAGATACAGAGACCTGGAGAGCCTGAGCTTTCCCCTATCACAGTAATTAAAGTACTAGGTCCCAAGATCTCTCTCCTGATCCCAAACGAATAGAAGTTAGGATTTTGTTTGCATTTCTGTGGTTCCGGTGGATGTACATGCATTAAAGAATGCTTTGTTTGGTCTCAGTGCGGCCTTTTCCGGAACAATCCTGTCAATGGTGATGCGGTAGGAGTCAAGTATTTATCAAATCTCCATGGAAAATGAACAGAGATGACAGGTTTCGAATGCAATATTTCTTTAACACCATGGGAATCTTTGCAAATGCTCTCCTGCTGAGGTGAAAACTATGCGGGGACTCTCCCCCAAGTATACTGACTTCTCTTTTATCTGGAGAAAAGCTACACGCCTCCCATGGCTTTTGCACTAAAGCTATTTCAGGTTAGCTCACCTTTTTGGGTTGATCACACTGAATCACTCAGCAGCTATTCTCCAAGGTACCATTTTCGGGTAGGGAGGCTGTCAGAAATAAAAGTTCGTCTTCACCCGACATAAAATACAAATGTTCGGCAAAGTACAAAATCCGATTACCCGCCCATAAATTATCCTTTCTCTTTTGTGAAGTGCGCGTAAAACTAAAAAGCCGCACATTTAATGGCTTAGTTAATTGCCTTCCTTTCAAACTATTTTATATATTCCCCAAAGAGAGACCCAGGGATCTTTGTCTCGAGGAAATTAAAGTCTACTTTAGTGGCAGTCGATGTAATGAAAACATTCTGTAATAATAAACACGTAGGGTCCTATTCAGATCCTATATGCAGACGTCTATGGCGTAGAAGCTAACAGAGGTCACTCACGGGTTTAAGCTTTTATATACCTCCAGTCCCATTCAGAAAGGAAACTTGCTGAGTCCAAGAAAAGTTCTGAGGAGATCCATCTCCCAGGGAGAGCTCCTCCAACCCACAGAGACTTTAATTATTTCCTCTCTCATTGGGAATGCTAATCCTGAGATGCCAAAGGCTAATATTATGTTGAAGCTTTGTTGAATAAAGGTGTATGGCTCTTCCCACACAAAGAAAAGATTAGTGGCTGCCTGAGACTGCGACTCGATACACTTACCTGGGAGTAAGTCCCAAGGAACTCAGTAGAGCTTATTTCTGAGTAGACCTGGCTAGAATTGCACATGGCTAGAATGGCAAAAATCAGTCATCAGTTGCAATTGGCTTGGGAGAGAGCTTAACAGACGACAAAAGCTCTGAGCATAAGAGGGTGGTTCAAGACTAAGAAATGATAGTCAGAGGGGTAGCTGCAATCCTAATCCCAATCATCATCATCATCATTTTTAATTTGTATACCGTCTCCCTATCTTACAATACTCAAGGCGGTTTACAAGCCGAAGAAACAAAAAATGTACATCTTATAACAAACTAATGCAATACAAAAATGTGATAATAAAACATAACTTTAAAATAGGCAACCTACATCAAAAAAGTAACATTCAACAATCATTAGAATAGCATAAACTAAGGAGATTCTTGAGAGTCCCATGGACTGCAAGAAGATCAAACCTCTCCATTCTGAAGGAAATCAGCCCTGAGTGCTCACTGGAAGGACAGATCCTGAAGCTGAGGCTCCAATACTTTGGCCACCTCACGAGAAGAGAAGACTCCGTGGAAAAGACCCTGATGTTGGGAAAGATTGAGGGCACAAGGAGAAGGGGACAACGGAGGACGAGATGGTTGGACAGTGTTTACGAAGCTACCAGCATGAGTTTGACCAAACTGCAGGAGGCAGTGGAAGACAGGCGTGCCTGGCATGCTCTGGTCCATGGGGTCACGAAGAGTCGGACACGACTAAACGACTAAACAACAACAACAATATCAACATATAAAAGTTAAACAGAAATCCACTCAACAGTTACAATAAATAATATCTAAACTATAATCAATAAAACAACGGCAAGCCACAGTACATAAAATAATACAATATACATTGAGAAGCAGGGACTAGAGGGTAGAGCAAGGCAGGTGGAAGGAGGCCTTGCCTGATGGAGTCTCTCCCCTCACAGTTCTTCCTTCAGGAACAGATCCCTTATGAGGACTCCTGAGAGAAAGTCCCACTGGAATCAACAGAACTTCCGAACAGACATAAGATAGGACTGCAGTGTTCATCCGCTGCAGCAAACAAAGCAGAATCCAGTAATATGTTAAATGGATTAGCATCTGATACACCCTGGTCTATAAATTTGTTAGCCTTGAAGGTGCTATAAGACCCGAAAGCCCACTTGTCTCGTTGTGTCGCTCCCTTTAGGCTAGGGCTGGGTAACTTGCAAGCTCTGACTTGTTGGGCTGCAGCCCAGAAGACAGAAGTTATACTGCCACAGTTTGCCAGGCTCTATATCAGGAGTGGGAAACCTGTGGCCCTAAGATTAAATGCTGTTCTCTGCAAGTGATCAGTTCTGACCTCTGGCAAGAGCAGTCTCTCCCCACTGGGGAAGGAGACAAAAGGGGAAAGAGAGAGGGGAGGAAAGAGAGGGAGAAAAGCCAAGACCACATCCACACTAGACATTTGAAGCACTGTGATACCACTTAAACAGTCCAGACTTCTCCCAAAGGAATCCTGGGAACTGTAGTTTGTTTACGGGTGCTGAGAGTTGCTAGGAGAGCTTGATTCCCCTCACAGAGCTACAATTCCCAGAGTTTAATAGGAAGAGAGTGACTGTTAAACCATAAGTGGGCCGGATCCATCACTGACCCAGAGCGTGAGAAAGTCACTCTGGCCCTTGGGACTCTCCACTGGTTACACCCCTTGCTAGCCCTGCTTCACAACCTCCTTGGTTTTGCCTGGATGCGTCCTTGAACCCTGAATGAAGAATAGAGGTGTATGCATAGAACCTAGCCTGATGCAGAACGGCAAAATTTGCATTTATTGCTTCACCCACTTTTGCCCTCTGGCCCAGCCCAACACTGGCCTGTGGCCCCCCAGAAGCAGTGCCGTCTTTACCTGGGGGTGCAAGGGGTGCGGGACACCAAATTCTGGGGGGTGCCAGGCGCCCGCCGCTGAAGACGCCTAAGCTCTACCTGTTATGAAATAATTTTGATCAAGTCAGAAAAACAAAATACATATAATACCTAGGTATTACCAAAATGTATACCTACTGTTTCACTAAAGGACTTTCGACTTTGTGCACTCATTTACCAAAGACATGCCGCGCCAGCGATGGCACTCTCTGCTTTTCTGCTGAAGTTTGTGGGACTGAAAGAAAAATCATCCCGCGAACCATTTCCAACCAGCTAAGAAAAGAAATATGGGACCAAGGGAGGGCTAACCCACACCTGTTTCGTTTGGAGATTTTTTTGGTGGGGGGGAGCCTCGCCACTGTTCCGCGCCTCCTCTCTTAACCGCGCTTTAATTGCAAATTAATTATAACCCTGGAAACTTCCCGCGGCAAGTGGCTCTGGAGGCGGGTTGGCTCGGCGAAGAAGCCTCCAGCCCGAGGCTGCAACAGTAGAAGGAGCGCACGAGAGAAATAACCGGTGGTCGGAGTCACCGGTGGAGCCGTGGGCTTGTTTCATCTCTGGATGGGGGGTGATGGGTGGATCTTTGCAGCACTTATGCTAAAGACAGCTCTGCCCAGAAGACTGACCAGAAGGGAGTGCAGACCTTGGGCTGAAAAAGCCTTGCTACTTCTGCTCTGCAGCTTTTAGCATTCCATCATAAATCTTTCCAGAAGTCAAGAGTTTCTGTTGCACACACTGAATTGCACCTTCAACATGACAATTGCAAGAGGTCTTGTGGCCCACATGCGCACCACAAGAGTTGATCAGCGTCACATACTTTAAAGAACCCTTCAGCCACTTCCTCTCTGTCAGCCTACCTTCAGCAATCCCACAAGTAAAACGCTCTCTGCCACAGCCTTATTCCCTTCCCTACATCTGAATCTCTTCTGATGACACAGACGTTAGTGAGGTGAATTTTCTGAATCATTATACTCTGTTTTTAAAATTGGTGTGAAGTGGCAGCAGGGGAGGAGATCTCATCCTTCCGACTTCAATTTAGGGGGGGGGGAGCGCATGCAACCGTTTATCCTGTCTATCTTTTGCACTTACTCACAACAGCTGCAGAATTTAACCAAAGGTAACGTAGATATTTTACATGGTATTCATCTCGTTCCAGAACTTCCACCCATAAAGTTGATGCTGAAGTAATTTATTTATTTTTTTTAAAAAAATGATATTTATTAAAATTTCAAAGAATACAAGAATTACACAAAAACAAAAAATAAAAATAGAAGAAAATACAAAATACAGCAAAAAGAATAAAAAAACCATTATTAAGGTATAACAAAGAAATGAAAAATAAAAAGAAACATACAAAATAAAAACAGTTAAAAACACATTAATTTTCCATAGCATATCTTCCTTACACTTATTTTCCCGGACCTCCTCGTACCTCCCTTTTTTGTATTCCAGTTCAGTTTGTTAGTTCAGCAAATCCTTACCATTAAGCTTTTACCCATTTGTAAACCTTTTTCGTATCTCTTAAAGCATTACAGCTGGAAACCACTTAGTTTCTATCCAACATCCTTCTAAGAGTCATTAATTTTACAATATTTCTGTAAATAGTCTTTAAATTTCTTCCAGTCTTCTTTCACCGACTCTTCTCCCTGGTCTCGGATTCTGCCAGTCATTTCTGCCAATTCCATGTAGTCAATCACCTTCATCTGCCATTCTTCCAGAGTGGGTAGATCTTGTGTCTTCCAATACTTTGCAATGAGTATTCTTGCTGCTGTTGTAGCATACATAAAAAAAGTTCTGTCCTTCTTTGGCACCAATTGGCCGACAATGCCCAAAAGAAAGGCCTCTGGTTTCTTCAGGAAAGTATATTTAAATACCTTTTTCAATTCATTATATATCATTTCCCAGAAAGCCTTAATCTTTGGGCACGTCCACCAAAGGTGAAAGAATGTACCTTCAGTTTCTTTACATTTCCAGCATTTATTATCGGGCAAATGATAGATTTTTGCAAGCTTGACTGGGGTCATGTACCACCTGTATATCATTTTCATAATATTCTCTCTTAAGGCATTACATGCCGTAAACTTCATACCTGTGGTCCATAACTGTTCCCAGTCAGCAAACATAATATTATGTCCAACATCTTGTGCCCATTTAATCATAGCAGATTTCACCGTTTCATCCTGAGTATTCCATTTCAATAGCAAGTTATACATTCTTGACAAATTCTTAGTTTTGGGTTCTAGCAGTTCTCTTTCTAATTTTGACTTTTCCACCTGGATGCTGAAGTAATTTATCATGGGTGAGGAAACTGAGGTAAACAGCTACTCCTCCAAGACATCATAACAGTAATTGAATTTCCTGTCATTGTTACAACTCTGACCATCAGGCTAATTCTGTAACACATAAATTATTTCTATTAACATTCATGTCGGTTTCTATCAAATTATGGCTGCGGGGAAGAATAGACAAATGCAAGGAGGACAGGTCTATTAGCCATAATAGCTTAGTGGAACCTGCAAGTACAAGAGAAGACACGAGGGAGATACCAGACACTAGGGGAAGGTTGCAACCTTCATGTGAGAGTGCCCAGAGCAGTAGGGTGGGGGGAGCCTCTGACCTGCAGGCCTAATAATTCCCCCAGCTGCACCTACCTGCCCAGCACCTGATGCCATATGTGACATCAGGTGTGGAGCAGGTAAATATCTGACTGGACTGGTTGCATTACAAAATTCGTCATGGGGAACTCTCTAGTCAGTGGGGTTGCTCTCAGTGCTGGTCAGCTGATTGGTGCTGAGAACACACCTTCAAAGGAACTCCCCTCAGCACTAATAAGGTATCTGGGTATGGAGAAGGATCCCCTTAGATGTCCCTTTGCACCTGCAACTGGTGCTGAGAGCACAGAGCATCTATCAGCACTCATCAACTGATGACACCACCCTTAAAGGAAGTTCTCTCCCAGCCGATGGGCACTGGCGAAAGCTCCTGCGAAGTCATCATCTAATGTAATAATGACCTCAGGTTTGGCCACTTGGCGTGGTTTCTTTGGGGTTGCTGGGGGAGGTAAAGATCCAGGCCTCCAGACAGATCCAGTTCTTTTACTCCTGACCTAGAGTATGAAAAAACTAACCCAGAAAATAAGTTTCCTGATCAGTCAGTAGGCACAAAAGAATAAATTCAAGGTACTAAATGAGCACCGTGTGCTTCTGTTAAGTGAAATTGAGATACAAAGACAACCACCTCTTTGCAATTCATTGCCTGTGGTGCAGTTAGCATTCAGTAAGTACAGCTGAATATATCAGAACACATGCATGCATCTTTTTTTCGACTGGCTGTTCGTGGAACAACAAAAGAGGTTATGTAGCACCATAAGAGTCAGGGACATATATTACAGCATAAGACTGAAAGCTTCTCCTGTCATTATAAAGTTATGGATTTAAGATGCCTGCTGCTTCCGCTGCAACAGACTTGGAGGATTCTCTCTCCCTCTGGAAATTGTCGGCGGGTGAGATGGGACTCGCCACTCGGACGACTCAAAATCATCAGCATCAACACTCCCTGAATCCCAACAAAACTCGTTTGCGCCTGCGCATAAATGAGCCGAACGTCTGGGTCCATGTGTTCGGCGGCGCGCATGCGCACGCTCCGCTCATCGCCGATGCCCTTCTTAGAGGCAGCCGAGGGAAGAGGCGGAGCCAGGTCTGGGAGGGGAGGAGGAAAAGTATGACGTACGTTGGAAAACGGGGGTGGGGGAACAGGAATTCATCTTGCGCGTGCGCAGAAGGAGTTGCCCCGCGGCACGACGCTCATACACCCCTGACTCAGCCAGGGAGCGGCGGGTACGGAAGGGCGGGCTCGAGTCGGGCCGCGCGTGCGCACTTAGGAGCGGCTTGCCTGACGCCGCGCTCCTAAGCCCCGCCTTTCCCTCGCGGCCTGGAGCCCAAGATGGCGGAATACGACTTGACGACGCGCATCGCGCACTTCTTGGACCGGCACTTGGTGTTCCCGCTCCTCGAGTTCCTCTCAGTCAAAGAGGTGAGCTTCCTCGAGTCGCGGGGATACTGGGGCCCGTGAGGGGGTGAGCCGGGCAGCGTCTCCGGGAGCCTCCGTCGCTTCCCTTTGCCCGCCTCAGGCCAGGCCGAGGCCCAGGAGGCCTCTCCGCGCTGGTCGGGTTTCCGCGGCTCGCCCGGTCAGAACAGCATCTTCGGCGGAAGGGCGCTGAGCCAAGGGAGGGCGGGGTTAAAATAAAACGAATAAAACAAAATAAAAGCCCTTTGACTGAAGGAAGGGAAGGACGCGCAGGCTTGGCTACAGAACAAGAAGGGCTCTCTGTGCATGTGCAGAGTGCACGGCCCTTCTCTCTCATTCTAACCCAAACCCAACTGCTCTTCCGTTTTGGCATCGAAGCCTTTTCTTCTTCACGTGCCCCTTGAATACATGCGACTTCTGCGGAAGCGCGCCTAGGAAGGCCATGCCAGATGTGCTTGAAAATTGGGGAGCATCCATCGTGCGTACTAGGCTGCCTTACGAAGAGAGACTGAATGCTGGGGTGAAGCTCCTAAGCAAGGGCATGCGCACACTACAGGCCCCCCCCCCCGTGTATTGCAAGACAGACAGGCGCGTGTACACACAAACATACGTGTAGAAGTCACTTCCTCCCAGATTCCCATTCTACTTAAATTAAGCAAGGTACCTGATGCCTTAAAGATGAACGCATTTATTAATGTGGATGAGAGTCCAGTCACAATTATCCCCTTTCTAGGGGCAGGGAGTGGAGAAGGTCATGGCATTTTGGATGACTTGGATCATTAGCCACATTGCAGTCTTGGTTCAGATCAGACTGTGGGCCTTGGTTGTCCTGAAGGATTAACTTTAAGAGTGAGGCAGGGGAAGTCCTTCTGCCTTTTTGATTTCCCTGTAGCTTTTCCTCTTGGACTGTGGTATTGGGAACAAGGGGTTCTGCTTTGCAGTGGTTCTGGTCCCAAAGTATTGTTGGGAGTGTGATTCTTGGTTCCCTGGTAGCTATACATTGTATTCTCAGTAATATTTAATATCTATATGAAGCTGTTGGGAGCAGGGCATTTGGTGCAAGATGTCTTCAATATGCTGATATAACACCTCGTATTTTTTCATAACATCTGAATCAGGAAAGGCTGTGTGGGACCTGGACAGGTGATGGGAAGAGAGAAAAAATATATGGAGCTTGAATCCCTGTAGCAGGTGCTGTGAACCAGCGGCTCCTGTGTCAAGAGAAATTGGTCAGTTGCATGCCCTATTGCCTTTCCCCTGAAGGAGCAGGTGTACAGTGTGGGGGTGCTTCTAGTTCCAGTCACTGGAAGCCCAGGTAGCTTGGGTTAGGAGTGCATTTTATCAGCTTTGTCTAGCACAACAGATGTAGTGATTTGGACTGGGATAGTCTGAGTACAGTAGGCATTGGTCAAGATTACAGTGGTGCCCCGCAAGACGAATGCCTCGCAAGACGGAAAAACCGCTAGACGAAAGGGTTTTCCGTTTTGAAGTTGCTTCGCAGGACGAATTCCCCTATGGGCTTGCTTCGCAAGACGAAAATACCTTGCGAGTCTTGATATTTTTTTTTCGCTTTCCCCCCCCCCTTTATCTAATCTGCTAAGCCTTTAATAGCCTTTAATAGCCTTTTAGCAGCTAATCCCCTAAGCCTTTAAGCCTTTAATAGCCGCTAAACCGCTAATAGCGCTAATAGCGCTAATCCGTCAATGGGCTTGCTTCGCAAGACGAAAAAACCGCTAGACGAAGACTCTCGCGGAACGGATTAATTTCGTCTTGCGAGGCACCACTGTACTGCAAAACACTTATGTCGGGCTTCCCTTGTGCTTGATCTATAAACTGCAGTTAGTACTGAAGGCTGCTGCATGATAGTTGACAGGAGTGATTGTCTTTCAGCATATTACGCTCTTTTCTGAGTTTTCAGAGCAAATTCAAAATGTTCATACATAAAAGTCCTTCACAGCTTGGAGTCAGTTGGCTTGAAAGATCAAATTATCCAACTGCTTTGATCTGACACTTTTATAAGTGCCCCATAACATTCATTCTATCGTTGCATGGAATCAATCCTGTAATGTGGTGCCATATATTAGGCAGATGGCTTTGTGGTATTGTTTTCAAAAACTTGGCTAAAGACTTTTTTGTTTAGTTCAGGCTAATTATCTATATTTTTATAGTCTGTGTTTACTTGTTTTTAAGGTTTCATTTTATTGGTGTTTTATATCATTTTTGTAAACCACTTAGAGGTTTGTTGATGAGGTAGTATGTACATTTTGTTAAATAAAATAAGAGGCTAGGGCTACAAATCAAAATCATTGGTTCAAATCTCCTCTGTCACGAACTCCTCTTAGGGATGTCACATTAAACCATAGTTAAAAATAAACTTTGGTTTAACATGAGAACAACATGCTTGGAAGCCCCAATTCCTGACGTTGCTGTGCCAGGGAGAAGACAAACCAAAGGCTGACTTCCTGTTGCATGTGAACCAGTATTCATAGTTTCTTCCTCTCTAGGCAACAGGAAACTAGTCTCAGGTTTGTTTTGTTCATAGCTCAGCAATAGCAGAAGGGAGGGAGGAGTGTGGTGTGCACTTTCTAGCAGGGTGCAGCAGCATGCCGCTCCTTGGTAAACCATAGTTTATTTTTAACTGTCCGAACCATGCCACTCTCTCTCAAACCCCCATCTGGAATATGGGGGAATAATAAAATGAGGACCTGGACCCTGACGGTTTAGATAACTGCTGCCTAGTTGCAGATGTTTTTTGGGCAGGGTGATTGAGAAGTGTGGTGGCTAGCAGATGTGTCTGGAGGAAGCAGGTTATCTAGACTCACTTCATTTGGGCTTCAAGCCTGGTAGAACATTGAAAAAGCCTGGTTCATTACACTTCTTGGGAGAGAGGGGAGTGTTTCCCTGTTGATTCTGCCCATCCTCTCAGCAGAGTTTGATACCATTGACCATAGTATTTTCTTGGAGAGACACTGTGTTGCAGTGGTTCCATTCATCCCTGTAGGACTGCTTCTTGACCCAATGGCATTTATATGGGTTCCTGTAGGGATTCATCTTGTCTTACATGTTATTTAAACAGCAGGCAGGAGTCATCCAGAGATTTCAAGTGCAGTGCCCTCAATATGCAGATGGCACCTGAAGCTTCTCTTCATTTTATCTGAATGAGAAGAGGTTGCACATGTGCTGGACCAATATCTGGAGGCAGTGATGGGCTGGATGAAAGCCAGTAAACAAACAATCCTAATAGGATGGGGGTACCGCAGTTCAGTGGTTCCCTGGTCTAGAAATTAGGGAGATGGTCTGTTCTGGATGGAGTAGCACTCATCATGAAGGAGTAAGTGTATAACTTGAGAGTACCCCTTGATTTGAAGGTATTTTTGGAGGCCAAGGTGGCCTCAGTGTCAAGGAATGTTTAAGCCCATATTTGGTTGGTTTGTCAGCTTTGACCATTCCTGAACTAAAATAGCCTGGATTTTTGCAGCACCCTCCACAGGGGGCTGCCCTTGAAGAAAGTGTGGAGTCTTCATGCAAGTGCAGACTGCTGCCACTAGTTTGCTGTCTTGGACAGTGAGGGGGAAACATATCACTCCTTTTCTGAGAACTTTGTACAGACTATATGTTAGGCACCAAGCCAAATCCAAAGTATTTGTACTGATGTCTAACACCGAATACAACCTAGAATCCAAATAGTTGAAAAGGTGCCCCCCTGAATATGGCCCGACATGTTTGTTAAGCTCTGCAGAGTTGATGTTGCCGCTGATGAGTGAGAATTCTGGGGTGGTGGCACAAGCCAGGACCTTCTCTGTGACAGTTCCTTGTTTATGGAACTTCCTTCTGATGGACATAATATTGTCCCCTGAATAAATGGCATTTAGGTGCCACCTTATAACCTTATTTTGCCTGGCATTTGTTAGTTAATTGCACACTGTTGCTGAGAAAGTATATTGTTTGCTGCTGCTGTTTTTTTAATTTGTATGTATTAGTTGTAATTTCATTTTGGGCTTCTGTATCTATGTATCATTTTATGAGCTGTTAGCCACCTGTGAGTAGGAGGAATGGTGGTGTGTAAGAAGTATAAATAATTTGTCGCACTTGGGGATTGCAAGGATTACAACCAGTTAGTGTACATGAAGTGCTTTTGAATGCTTGAAAGGCTATATATATGTAAAGTGCTAGCTTTACTTTTCATGATTTGGAGAGTACTCTGAAAGTAATGAAGTGTATTATGGCCCGGTGTGTTTCAAGTCAATAGTTTGCCTGAGTGCTCCTCGAATGGAACTGGACTAGCATCTCCTCCTGAAATACCACAATACTTGACGCAGCCCACAAGATCTGCTGTGGCATGTTAGTTAGGAAACAGCTAAGTTTCCAGTTTGATTTCTGCCTTTACTCTAAACACATTTGGAGACCTTCCAGGGTGGGCTTGATTTAAATCATTTTTTTTACAGAAAGACTCATTTTTGCTGGTATAATCTTAGTATTTACAACCAGATGAAGGTTTCATTTTTGATATAATAAATTTTCAGAGTAGTTTTTACACTCATATAAAAAATTACTGATTTGGTTATACTGTTACAAATACAAAGGCAGATAATTATGAAATTATTGTGAGGTTTAATAAGTTAACTGTTTATATTTGGACAACTTTTCTGCTGTACTTTATTGGAAGGAGAAAAATAATCATTTCCTTAATAACAACTTAAACAATTTAACTAAAACAATAACATTATAGCATATGTATCCATGTTTGTTAACTGATGTGGTTAAACGGTTTTTTTAAAAAAACAGACTGAGTTTTAGCACACATGAAAAACTTAAAACAAATCCTTATTTTCTGATGAATAGCCTTTCATCTATAATGAAACTATAATGTAACTTAAATAGAAAACTATCTTTAGAAAGCTTTTTCCTCCAGAAGCATTTTATTTTAAAAATCAAATTTAAATTTAAAAAAATCGATTTAAATAAAAAATCATTTTTTTAAAGAAAAACCCATTGATTTATCCATCTTGAGACCTTCTTTCAGTCCTAGCACCCCTCACCCCCCAACATTCTGCAATATGTGACTAGTACAGTCATACCTCGGGTTGTGATCGCTGCGTTTTTGGGTTTCGGACGTGCCGAAACCAGGAAGTACCAGAACTGGTTACTTCCGGGTTTTAGCGCATTCACAGAAGCACTAAATCGCACTTTGCGCATGCGCAGAAGCACCGGATCACATCATGCATGTGCGCAGACGCAGCACTGTGGGTTGCAAACATGCCTCCCGCACGGTCTCATTCTGAGCCTTCAGTTCGGAGAAGACGATTATGATGACAATTGTAGTTGGAATGAAAAACTTTTCCATTTTCCCATGTGAACAGTAGATGACATCAAGTACTTTTTAATATTGATTTGTCTATGTGCTGATTAAATGCAAAGGTAGAAGAGTTGTATCAAGGCATTTGGAACAGAGCTGTATAAGGACATTTGGATAATAGTGTCCTTTATTTGACTGACTTGGAGAAAGGGTGTACTTATATTTAGTTTAGCTTGAATACCTGCAAGTTATTTGTTGAATACAAGTTGTTCCAGTAAAATATAACTCTGTTGATGCACTTTGTGCCTGCCTTGTTTTGAATAAACTGACACCTGTTATTATTAGAATCAATACATTCTAAAAGTATTTAGTTGGCATTTCAGGAATGTCTGTTGAATGGAAAAATAGTAGAAGAAATCATTCTTGAAAAACTATTGAGTTTTGGATAAAACCTTTCTTGGGGTACTTGAAGCAAATAATTTATTCATTACATTAATATATCATCTTTCTGCCAAGGCACCCAAGGCAGTTTAGAATTTTAAAGGACTGAAATGATTTAACATGTAAAATTGGCCAGGTGACGAGGGCACATTCTGGCTGGATAAAGGTCTAATGTTGTCTTCACCTCCCTCCCTCAGTCTCTACTTCCTCCCCACAGGGCAGGTGGTGTCTGTTGGATCTCAAATACCCTTGTTCAGTCAGTTTGATTGGTTAGGATTGGAAATATATACCATACAATCTAAAAGCCAATAACATTGGAGCATGATCTCATTTCTCTTAAATTCCCCTTGTGCCATCAATAATATACTTCTCAAAGTCTGTATGAATTCGTTCACCTTGTTATCTTGAAGGGCTATAAGTAAGTTTCAAGTGGCAGCAGGGTAAGGTCTGAACTAAATATTTTTACTATTGGCAGGGTCTAATTATAGAGCTCTGTTTGTTCTTTTGACTTCATTGTACTCAGTACTTTGATTGTGAGCTACCTTGGTAATTGTGCAAACTAAAGGGTGACATCTAAATGTTTAAACACAAACTTTAAATTAAATAGAAAGTAATAGGTAATATTTAAAACCATTACTATTTTATTTCTTTCAGATATACAATGAAAAGGAACTACTTCAAGGAAAACTGGATCTCCTTAGTGACACCAATATGGTGGACTTTGCTATGGATGTCTACAAAAACCTTTATTCTGATGATATTCCTCATGGTAAGCTATCTACTTACAAATAAAACTGTGACAGGATCTACAGTCAACCCTCGTGCCTTAAAAATAATAAAGCCCACGACTTTAAGTTACTATCATGTACTGATCTTTAATGTTGACTAAATCCAAATTGTTTGTTTAAAAAATAATGTCATTTTGTTCTACCAAAGTTCTTTTTCAGTTCTATTCATATATTTTAATGTTTTGGCTTCTGAGTCCCACTGTCGGAACTGGTTTGCATGCCTCCTCCCACCCCAACACAGATTCTAAGACAAAAGACAAAGGGAGATGCATTTGTCTATCCTCAAGGCCTAGAGCCTATGTCTGCTTTGGGGGCGTGGGGAAGGGCCACATTGAAAAAACAGTTCTGGCCTGTCTCTTGTTGTGGTAGAGGCAGTGACCTCAGTGATGAATGGAAGGGTGGAGAGAATAAGAAGAGTAGGGAATGAGAAAGGACCCACTCCTTTCCCCACTTGTCAAAGTTGACATGCCTTCAGTTAGAATTATGTAAATATTACAAAGAATCGGTGTTAACCAGATGGCTCTTCTCTACTTCCATATTTCTTTTAATGACAAGATTTCCCTAAAACAGGGTATAGCTCATCTATATTGGATCCTTCCTTAGCAGGCAAGTCATTCTTTATGCAGTGGGGTAGGAGGTGAGCCTTGATGCACATTGGTGGAATATTGGGACTCCCTGGAAATTGTCTCTTGTATTTGCCTGGATCTATCTGTCACTGAGGGATTTTGTCACACTTTTTCTGGTCTAAAATGTTCCCACTTAAATCTGTTCACATTCATTTTCTCAATGCACAGATTAAGTTTATATCCAAACTCTTGAATAAAATGTTTATGGCCTAAAATATTTATTAGTATTGTGGAGCTGGAGTCAAGTGTTCATACATCTAAACTGCTATATTCAAGCTTTTTTGCCCCTTCAAAAACATGGACACCATAAATATTCTAAAAGTTTGGTAAGCAAGTAGTACTTCTGATTTATTCAGGCTGTTGCTTGCTTTGTCTGAGCCCATTTGAAAACTTCACTTTTCCCCATTGCATTCAGAATGGGTGTTTAGATCGCTTTCTTGAATCTTGTGGGCTACTCTGCTGAGATACAGAGCAAGACACATTTAAACAAAAGATTTTATTGAACTAATAATTGTGTCTAACTGATTAGGACCTAGGTGAATAAAATTTGAGAATTCTAGGGTACACAGTATTATCTTGCTTGATTGACTATTGCTGACAGAACTTTTTGTATAGATGACTTAACTTAGTTTTTCTGTTTTTCTCATCAGCTTTGCGTGAAAAGAGAACCACAGTTGTTGCACAGCTAAAACAGCTTCAGGCAGAAACTGAACCTATTGTCAAAATGTTTGAAGACCCAGAAACTACACGGCAAATGCAGTCTACTAGGTAATGCTTTTGGATGTTGCATTCCTGCAAAAGTTTGCAGAATTGCTACTTGAGTGTAATTGGATAATTTTTCAAGTTTGATCTTCTAATTGCGTGAGCCTCAGTGCAATCCTATGCATGCCTACTCAGAAGTAAGTCTCCCAGTTGTAAATACCTTGTAAGTGTATGTAGGCTTGTAGCTTATGTAGTCACTAGGGTGGTTTATTGTCTAGATTAGAAATGGAAATAGTTCTGCCTATGTGCAGCTGATGTTCTGTTGATTTTAATTTGTGAAACCTAATTCAAACATTTTTTATATTCTTAACTTGAAAGTTCTTTCAGATGAGAGAGATTGACATGTATTCCACATGGGAAATTGAGTCTTTAAACCTCCATTTAGCTAATCATGTCTCATTCTCTAGACTAGAGCAATCAAGTGCTCTCCACATGTTTTGGACTCATCAGGTTCTCATCAGGCCCACCACAGCTATGTTAGCTGGGGCTCTTCGGAGTTGCAGCCAGAAACATTTGGGAAAGGTTGCACAGGGTAACCTGGATATTTCGACAATTGTATCCCATTGCCTTAGGATCTAAGATTTACCTTTACTTAAAAAAAAAAAATATTATTTTATTAATTTTCCACACAAAAAAAAGCAACAATGCATATTCAAACATAGAAAAAAGTAGAGTTGACTTCCCCCATTTCCTTCCCTGGTTCCATTGTTTATCATCATACCGCATTTCCATTTTAAATGATAAAATCATTAAAATTACTTATTGTCCAGGCATTGTCTTTACAAGTCTTTTTAAAATCCTGCTAACGTATTAACCTGTGTACATTACTTCTGTATATATGCAATAAAGTCCTCCCAATCTTCTTTAAATTCCTTTTCATCTCTTCCTCTTAATTTCAAAGTCAATTTTGCATATTCCATTAACTTCGCTTGCCAGTCTTCTTTAGCTGGGACACCTACTTCTTTCCAATGTTGTGCAATAATATAGTGGTACCTCTGGTTGTGAACGGGATCCGTTCTGGAGGCCCTTTCGCAACATGAAAAGAATGCAACCCGCAGCGGCACGTCTGCGCATGTGCGGGTTGCGATTTGCCGCCTCTGTGCATGCACGTGATGTCATTTTGTGCTTCTGTGCATGCGTGAGTGGCGAAACCCAGAAGTAACCCTTTCTGGTACTTCCGTTTCGCCATGGGATGTAACATGAAGCGGACGTAACATGAGGTATGACTGTAAGTCTTTTTGCGGTCTTGGCATATCCACTCCTGTAATACCTAGTAGGAAAGCTTCTGGTTTTTTTAACAAATGTTATTTTAAACATCTTCAATTCATTATAAATCATTTCCAAGTACTTAACAATTTTGCAATCCCACCACATATGAAAAAATGTCCCTTTTGTTGATTTACATTTCCAACACTTACTTTCTTTATTTTTATACATTTTTGCTAATCTCACTGGAGTTAGGTACCATCTATACATCATTTTCACATAATTTTCTTTAATTGCCACACACGCAGTAAATTTTATTTCAGTTTTCCATCATTTTTCCCAATCTTCCATCGATGTACCTAGCCTTAATCCTGTTTATGTGGGAGTAAGCTTAATCAAATTCAGTTGGACTTATTACTGAGTAGATATCATTGGGATTGTGCTTTAAGTCCCCTTCTACCTTTTAAAAGCCAGAATGGAGGTCGTAATCAGTGAAAAGAAAAATTATTAACTATTATTACGTTCTGTTGTTTTGTATATTATGTTAAAAGCAACCCAGCTGGGGCAACCCAATCAGATGGGTGGGGTACATATGATGATGGTGATGTCTCTATTCCATGTCTGTGAGGTAACCTGATAGAAAGTGCCACTGCTGCATCTGCCACTATTTCCATACCCTTTTTTAAAGCATCTGGTTTGGGGATTGCAGAGCTAGGTACTATCCCCTAAAAGGCTGTATTTGGTTAAGAGGTGACAGGTGCTGATTTCTACTGCAGAGGAAAAAGGATTACAAGTGACGGGACATAATAGGATGCTGTCTAAGGCAGAGAGATATTGCCCTTAACACTCTCCATAAAACAAGAGGAGGGTTATTGGACCCTGTGCCCATATTATTGAAAGTTAAATAATACCCAGCCGGTGGCGTGCAAAAATGCATGCTGCAGCAATGTAAGAGTTGGCCTTGAGTGAAAACTAATTCACTTGTACATATATGAAATGTAGAAAAATGAATTTGCTTTCAGTGAACAGAAATGTTTCTCTCTGTAATGTTTTTGTGTGATTTATAGCACTACAGTGAACTCTTCTTTATTACAGGGATGGTCGGATGCTATTTGACTACTTAGCTGACAAACATGGTGTAGGTATCAATTATTAAATCTGTAAAATTAAGTATGCATGATGCAAAATAAATGGACTTCAGATGTGAGAACTGGTCATGTGATTGATTGTGTCCTTCTGTGATGTATGTATATGTAGCCTGCCTTCTATACTGAGTGGTCCCAGGGTGGGTTATAAAAGCACAGTTAAATATTAAAATCATATACCTCTTTTATGCAATGGTTCTAAACTTATGGTGAGCAGCTATTTTAATGCTTAGTCTCACAGTGTGAGCTGTGAGGTGGAGAGAGATGTCTGTTTAGTGGGAGCAGAGTAATTCCATTGGCCATAAGTTAACCATTCTATTTGGGTATTGAAATCAAAGGAGTTACTCTGAGTATGTCTTAGTTAGATACAACCCTGTGTATTGATTGGTTCAAAAGGCATGCAAGCTGGAAAGCCCTCTGGCAAATACAACTAAAGGTTTTGACATCTACTGGCTAGATAAGTGATGAGAATTCAGTCAGCACTGAACTGGGCATGTCAAGTGAATTTTTAAAAGGGGAAATTGAGGCCTCTGAGTCACAATCTAGTCACCTGGTTATCAGTGCTGGCTGACATTACTAATGGCAAGTCTGATTAAATCTCATTCTACCTTTTCACAAAGTCAAGTTTTAATTAGATTTTGTCCATTTCAGCATTGTCTAAGCATGCACAGAATGAGGACTTCATTGTTGTGGTTGAAGTATAACTTTTTGAATGTTTCTGCAATGTAACAGACTTCCTGCAAGTTAAACAAAAACAGTCCTAGTATATTTGAGAAATAGGTTCTATTCTACCATGCTCCCTGCTATGGTGGCTTTGCACTTGGGGAGAATTCATGAGCCCCTACCATCAATAATTTTGTGCCCTCAGAACTTTGCCTCTACATTATTCTGCTGCATATTTAGACAAGACTGAACTACCTCCAAAGCAATTTCTTGAAACATTTTTTATATTTGTTCTGTTTGTCTTGCAGTTTAGGCAAGAGTATCTAGATACACTCTACAGGTATGCAAAATTTCAGTATGAATGTGGCAACTATTCAGGAGCAGCAGAATACCTGTACTTCTTTAGAGTATTGGTAAGTTTTTCTATATATAAATAATTTAAGATTATATTTTTAAAAAGTTTGTGGGCCCCAAAATGGACATCCATACGAGTTTGCTTTTTCCTCCTTTCATGGTAGACACTTTCTAGCAAAACCTCTAAATTATTGGCAAAATCACTGTTCCTTTTGTGTGTCTGTGTGTGTGTGATTTTTGAGAGCAAGTTGGAAATCTTATTCTTTCAACTCAGCTGTATTCAAACAGTGTACCTGCCTAAAGAGAAACAAAACTATTTCTTAGAATGGCACTGCTGCAATTAACTTAGTCTTTACCTCACTTGAGTCCTGTCTTTGTAACTGCAACATGAAAAGTTAGATGCTGACTTGGCTTTCAAATACCACACCAGTCCAGCCAGTGAGATCTAGCCACAAAGCTGTTGCAGATTCTTATTTTACCTATTGTACTTGATGAATATGTATGCAGATGGGGATGATTTATTTTTTATGACTGTAGCTTATTGCTTCACTGTTTTAATACTGTTTTATTTCATTGTGATTTTATTGCTGTATGTATTGTATAAGCTGCTTTGAGGTATCATTTGGGCTGGCAACAGGGCTTAAATATAGGAAAATAAATAAAAACATAAAATACATAGCAGAACATTTAATTTCTAAATTAATTACAGAAACAGAAAAGTGCTGAGGCACAACTAAAGTGAAGGAATTAGCTGGTAATGCTGAATTTAGTGGTTGCTTTTGAGAATTTTGTCAGTCTTTCCTTTTAATATCATGAAAGAGTTTGAGTAGTAGTCTTGTATTTTGGAAAGGGCTTATACCAATAGTTAACAAATGCAGCAACTTAGAACAACATGAAGAGTTGATTATTCATGTCATTTTGTGTGGTGATAAAGTAAGAGAAAATCTAGGGCCGTGAACTTTTTGTGGCTGGTTGAATGAATTTTTAATTCTGTTTAGAAATGGAAATTAATGGTTGGGTAGACTGACATATTGAAGCTAGTCTATTCTAATATAGCCTTACCTGAAAATAGGTTACTATGCAGTGCCAACTGAAGTTGTGCAGAGCTGAGTAAAAAATGGCATGTATGACCTTGTGCCCCGAACTTGAGCAAAGTAATGTCATCGTCTTTCCCCACCCTCAGCTAGGGGGGATGAAAATACGTATGGTTCTAATATTATTTGAGGGTTCTGGAGTGTGTATGAATGACATTATTTGATATCCCCAACAAATTTAGTCTCTCTGATCTTTCTGAGCACAGCTTTCAGTTAAATGACAAAGCTTGTTACTGGGATGGAAGTATAATGATAATGAGGTAGCATTCAAGGCACAGCGACAACTAGCTGATGAGGCAGTAGTTAATGCTCAAATTTCAGAAACTTCAAGGGCAGAGGAAATACAGTTTAGGTGGATAGATCTTTCTGGAGACCTGGCAATGTTCAGTGCTTGATCCAACTTTTCTTTCTTTTTTAAATAAGAATTTCTTAGGTATTTTCTCTTCAGTCTTTCAGAATTTCAGTTATATTCTGTAGGTTTTAAAATAATAGTTAAATATGCAACTGTTACTGTTTTAAGAGAAGCTAGTTTACTTGTGGGCCAGTCACACTTCTTTGAAGTCTCTCAGCCCCACTCACCTCACAGAGTGTTGTGGGGGAGGAAGGGAAAGGAGAATGTTAGCCGCTTTGAGACTCCTGAAGGGGAGTGAAAGGCGGGATATCAAATCCAAACTCTTCTTCTTCTTCTTCTTTGAGAAGAAATTTGTTTAAGTGAGATTTTTGAGAAACACATTCTATGAAAGTACCATTGTAATGGATTTGAGGCAAGAGTGTTGTTCTCTGAATGACTTGCAGTTTGGCCCTGTGTCAGCTAAAGCTGATTGACCCTAACTTGAAATTCAGTACAGTATTTTTTTCTTTTGCCACAAATGTGGACTTGTGTTACAGGGTGTCTTATAAATAGTAAGAAAGAATAAATGTTTTGCAACAACCCATGCTCAGCTGTAAGGGTGCATATTGTAGTTCTACGAGTTCTCTATTATATAATGATATCTTAAGCTGAAATTACAGAAAGGGTCATGACACCCCCATAGCCATCCCTGTTAAGCAGTCTGTACAAGCCATTACTCTAGACTATAGTAGTCTGCTATAGATTTTCCTCATTCTGATTAGCAGAGGTTTTCTGTAGAGCTGGTGGTTTTATTAGTTAAGCTTTAAACCCTTTTAAATTAGTGCGTGAAACCCCAAACTACCCTGAAGTATTGTTGACAAAGGAATCCTTATTGCTTGTATTGAAAGTTCTGTGCAGAAGCTGTGGCTGCCAATTCTCCAGGCTTTCCTGGTTTTTAAAATCTCCAGCTGAATCTCCTTGGAAATGCCTAGTGCTGCTGATTGTTTCCTAGAAAATCAAAACTGATTTGCTAAATGAAACACAGCTCATTCTCCCAAAATTGTGGAACAGGCATGTCAGTGGCATATTCTCTCTCTACTGGTGCCAGCAAGTCTCTAATCAAAATGTTTGACCTAGAGAAGTATTAAATTATTGTGGTTATTGTAATTGGATTCACTTATTTAAAACAGGTTCCATCAACGGATAGAAATGCTTTGAGTTCACTCTGGGGAAAGCTGGCATCTGAAATTCTGATGCAGAACTGGGATGCTGCCATGGAGGACCTTACAAGATTGAAAGAGACAATTGACAATAATGTGAGTTTATTTTTATTTACATATTGACAGATAGCTGGTGTGGGAAGAGGAATTGCAGCTGGTGGATGTTGGCAAATATTTAATATCACTTCACATTTTGCTCAAAATAGTTATGGTTAGCAGTGCTCTTGGAGTCTTTCTTTTTAGGCAACTTTTTCATGGTGTGCCTGGGAAGTCAGCTAAATCAACTGATTTGTTGATGATTCCCTATTGCTTAAAAGAAATGGGAATCTGGCTTTCAGAAGGGGAGTAGCAAGTGGCAAGATACAATAAAAGTTTAAAATCTGTGTAGAAAGAGTGTTTTTAGGGCATATTTCTGTTCTCATACAGTGGTACCTTGGGTTAAGTACTTAATTCGTTCCGGAGGTCCGTTCTTAACCTGAAACTGTTCTTAACCTGAAGCACCACTTTAGCTAATGGGGCCTCCTGCTGCCACCGCGCCACTGGAGCATGATTTCTGTTCTCATCCTGAAGCAAAGTTCTTAACCTGAGGTACTATTTCTGGATTAGAGGAGTCTGTAACCTGAAGCGTATGTAACCCGAGGTACCACTGTATTACCATGGGTTACTAGAACTAAAGGTTGCCTACTTGTAAGTGGTAGAGGCTCTGAAGGGTTTAAGACAGGCACCTTTACTAGGCTGACCTGAAGACGTTAAGGATTGAATCTGGGATCTTTTGCATGCAAAACATGTTGCTCAACTATACCGTTCCACTATAGCATTTCAGAACTCAATGCTGCCTCTGACTTTTGTCAACTGTGTAATGTCAGGAAGCTGTTGTGATGGCAGAGGGAGTGGGGTCCCACCTCTCCTGGGGTGGCATCGTGAGCTGTGCCTCTGCAGTTTTGCAGCAACTCCTTGCTATTGCTTGCAGGCAGAGGAGGCAGTAGTATGCAGAGTTACGGTACTGGCTGGGCACTATGTTGAATGATTTTTCCTGGTTGGTATGGTGGCTCATGGATAGTCACGCAGGACCTGTACTTGGGACTCTGTTGTCTAGCCTACTAACAATTGGAGGCCAGAATACATAGAATTGGCTTTCTGCCTTTCCAAAGCCAGGAAATTGTGCTCAGTGCTGTGGCAGTGGCGGAAATAACTGATGAGTTTTGCCACTCAACTGTTATCATCATCATCATCATCATCATCATCAGTTAGTTGCTTTATCTCTCCCAGGGCAGCCCAACACAATTTATAACCAATGTACTGCTCACCAGAGCTAAGTGGCAATTTATATGGCTAGTTTCTTTTGGCACGCCCATTGAGTCAAATTCAGATTGTTCAGAAATCTTGGGTTAAAATGGGCTAGAAGGGCGAAATTAAAAACCATTATGCCTGGATAACTGTGAAGTTTTTAATGTTTGATGTTTATTGTATTTTTAATATTTTGTTGGAAGCCACCCAGAGTGGCTGGGGAGACCCAGCCAGATGGGCGGGGTACAAATAAAGTATTATTAAATAAATTATTATTATTATCATTATTATTAATAATAATAATACTAAAAATTACATGAGAGTTTTCTGTCCCTTCCACCCCCTGTAGCCACTGCTACCTCTGAATTCACAGGGGTGCAGACTATCCTGGAAAATGGGCATTTTGCTGTGGGGGGGGGGAATGTCCCTCCTGTAAACTTAAGTTTACTTAGGATCCAAGAGCTAAAATACTGTAAATGTAAACTGTTCAGTAAAATACCTTTCTACTTTTTCAGTCCGTCAGCTCTCCTCTCCAGTCTCTTCAGCAGAGAACATGGCTCATTCACTGGTCTCTCTTCGTTTTCTTCAACCATCCTAAAGGCAGAGATAACATAATTGATCTTTTTCTCTATCAGCCCCAGTGAGTTGATATATACCTACAAAAATAAAGGGGATGTGTAAGAATGTAGTAATCCAGTTTTCTGCCCTGATGATGTTAAACATTCCTACATACTTTAGAAGGTTGTTCTATGCCTTTGAATTGAAATGTAGTGTTGTATCCTTTCCACGGTTTTGAGGCTACAGTATAGCTCCATATACTATTACACTTTTTAAAATTGGTATGTCTACATAAACATGCATAGAAGCATGTGAAGCCCAGACATTTAGGAAACAGAAGTAAACTCTTACATCTAAGGAATTGAATAGAAATTTGATTACATTTATGAAGTTAAGTATAACTCTTGACAAAAATGAAAGGTACTAATAGAAAGTGCTTCATGTTACATTACCGTAGAAACTTAGCTATGTGATTAGCAATTTGATACTTGATGTGCCAAGTTTAAAGGTTTCTGCTGTACTATGATGCATCAAATACTGAAGGGATGAATATTACAGGTACAATCCTTTTAGTGGCAACTACCATAAACTTGGAAGAGGCATTATTTCATAGGTAACTTCATCTTGGCATGATGTCTCTGATATTGTATTACATTTAAAGTTGCCACAATGAATTTTAAGAGTACAGTCTATTTCAGTGTAGTTGGGTGGTGATGTCAGTGTTGCATGAGGTAATGCACTGATTCATTGCCATCTTCTAGTGTTTTTCAAGGACATATGTGTCAGGGGTTCAGGAGCAGAGGTACAGGAAAGGGAGGAAATAGAGAGCGAGGGGGAGGAGTCCGAAGGAAATGTTAGCGATGACAGCGGTCCGAGGTCTCTGAGTCTTTCCAGCGAATCGGAAGATTCACAGAAAGGGGCTCCCTTGGTCAGAGCAAGGGGGTGCCGAGGGGACACCCCAGGAAGAAGGGGCCAGAGGGGACTCAGAGAGCAGCAGTTGGAAATCAGGACCAGCGTCCACACCAGAGTGCAGTAGGGGGGGAGGAGTCCCAGGCATCGGGATCAGGCGGCGCACTGCCAGTGGGAGGACATGAGTCAGGATTGGCCACGCCTCCATCGGGGAGCGAGGAAACGGTCGAGAGGAAGGTTGAAGGCTGGGCGCGCGCGCCAAGTTCAAATGTACAGGAGGGAGGCGCAGTTGGCAGCCCGGATAGGGAGCCAGGTCCCAAAGCCCGCCGAAAAGAGGGGGAGGAGTCAGGGGGGTCAGCGTCAGAAGAATCCAGGAAGGAAGGGACCCCGGGGGGTAGCAGGACCCAGAGGAGAAAGGAGAGACGTAAGAGGTGGAGTAAGGCTAGAATCTTAAACTGGTGTACAGGGGCGGAGACTCAGATGGAGCTTCGCCGATCTAACCCCTAGACGTAGAGCTGGGGCGCTCCGGCTTGAAAATGGAAACTGTACTTCAATAAAGACTTTTGTACATTACTGCCGGCTAGCGTTGGTCCTCTGTGAGCTGGGACCTGGAGCCAGCTCTGACAGTAAGCTCCATCTCCAAAAGTTTTGCACCAAAAACCTCGTAACGTGAGTGGACGCAGCGAGGGAAGAAGATTGGTGCTTCGCGAGCTCACAAAAGTCAGGCAAGATGACTACAGAACAGCAACTAGCAGCCCTGCAAAATGCAGTGACACAACTCAACGCGGAGGTACTCGCATCCAGGAAAAGGGAAGAGGAAGCGGCTGCCGCCTGCAGGGATCTCCAAGCCAGGTTGGAAGTGCTTGCTAAGCAGGGGCAACCGGGACCCAAATCAGAGGGGATTGGGCTGGGGAAAAGAGGAGGCAGCCTGGTATCTCATTTCGATGGGAATTTGCAGCAGTACCCTAACTTCCGAGCAGACGTGCTGTTTGCGCTGGAACTGCTGGATAAAGACTTTAGAGATGAGCAAGAGAAGGTGGGGTTTATCTTGTCCCATTTGCATGGGGAAGCTAAAGCGTGGCTGCGCAATCTGTGGAGAGATAAGGATCCGGCGCTCCAAAATGCGGATGCATTCATTAAAGCGATGGATTCGTGTTTTTATCAAATATAGACATTGATATCGCCAGAAAAGACATACATGGGCTCAAACAAGGCAGAGCCAGTGTAAGGCAGTACCATTCCCGCTTTTTGCATTAGTCCATGCGCTGGGATGGGAGAAGGATTCTGCCCCAGCCAGAGACCTTTTTGGGAAGGCTTGAATGCAAATGTGAAAGATGAGATTGCAAGGGGGGAGAGACCAAAGAGCACTCAGGAGGTTGTCCGGCGGGCGCTGCAAATTGGGGTGCGTCTGGAAGAACGTCCATGGAACAGAGAAGAAGGACGTTGGGGACGTACGCCAGTGAGAGCACCTCCCCTCTTTCCCAAGGATGCAGCGCGTGTGCAATCCCCACCTCCGCAAGGAGGGGAGAGCAACCGATGGAGATTGGAGGCGCCAGGGCTCAGTCAGCAACCAGAGCCTTAACACCGGGAGCAGTCAAAGCGAAGCCTCCTAGAGGGAACAGGAAGTGCTACATCTGCGACAGTGCTCAGCACATGGCGAAAGAGTGTCCCCAGAGGCTCCACAAGCACACTGCAGCCTCAGCAACAGTAACAGAAGCAACTCAGCAGAGAGAACCACAGCAGGGAAACGACAGAGTCTGGTTGGAGGAAGAGGCACTGGGGCCCAACCAGACAAGTCAATGAAGCCGTCCCCAGAGATTTTGCAGCCCACAGACCCCTCCCGCCCAAACCAGTGGTGCAGCTCACAGCATCGCTCCAACTACCCAATGGACTCACTATGGAAGTGCCGATTACCATTGACTCTGGTAGTAACGCAGACTTCATAGGACTGGATTTCCTTCAAGAGCACAACATAGCACTCCTGCCAGCCACGCTGCCTCTGAAAGTTGTCACGGTGGATGGCAGGGAATTGCTGGGGGGGCAGGTGGTGCAGCAAACGCCTCCGATGGTGATGCAAATTGGAAATCACCGAGAAGTCATCAGCTTCAATGTCACCCAACTGTCGGACACGCCTATAGTATTAGGCATGAGTTGGCTGCACAGGCACAGCCCAGCATTGGCGTGGTACCAGCGACAACTGACCTTCGGCTCCTCATACTGTGCGGAACATTGCATTCTGCCTAGCCCGGAAGGGGAAGAGGATGACCCGCAGCTACACTTAGGCACGCTGCAAGCAGTGCCACTCAAGTACGCAGCGTTTTTGGAGGTTTTCTGCGAGAAGGAAGCGGACAAGCTACCTCCCCACAGGTCTTATGACTGCAAGATTGACCTCCTGCCAGGGGCGACGCTGCCAACCGGGAAACTGTATTCCATGTCTGAAGACGAGCTGCAGGAACTCAGGGAGTTCATAGACCTCAACTTGAAGCGCGGTTTCATCCAGGAGTCGAAGGCAGTGGGGGCGCAGTCCTGTATTCTTTGTGAAGAAGAAGGACACGCCCCAAAAAGGCTTGTGGTGGACTATAGAATTTTGAACTCGAAAACCAAGCCCACAGCCTTTCCCATGCCCAAGATAGATGACCTGCTCGCAACGGTGAGGAAAGGACGCGTTTTCACAAAGTTGGATCTGCGAGGGCGTACAACCTGATTCGCATACGGGAGGGCGACGAATGGAAGACTGCCATGTTCACGCCCCTGGGCACCTATGAATACAGAGTTATGCCCTTTGGATTACAAAATGGCTCCCACTGTTTTCAAGCCTTCATGCATCACGTATTGGCGGGTCTCCTCTACAAGAAATGCGTCTGCTTCCTGGACGACATCCTGATATTTTCAGAATCAGAGGAGACCCACGAGGGAGACGTCAAGGAAGTTCTGCAGAGACTGCAGGAGCACAGGCTGTACGCCAAGCTGGAGAAGTGCCAGTTCGACATGAAGGAGGTAGATTTCCTGGGCTACAAGTTGTCGGACAAGGGGCTCGCCATGGACAGCGCCAAGGTTCGCTCAGTGTTGGACTGGAAGAGCCCGCGCAATCGGAAGGAGGTCCAGCGGTTTGTCGGTTTCGCCAACTTTTACCGCAAGTTCATCAAGGGGTTCGCGATGCAGACGGCGGCCATTACCGACACGCTCAGCTCCAAGAAGAAGAAGTTCATCTGGACGGAGCAAGCGGAGCAGTCCTTTCAGAAACTCAAGCGTCTCTTCTCGTCCGAAGAGCAGCTACTGCATGTGAATCCCAGCAGACCGATGAGGGTTGAAACGGACGCCTCAGACAGAGCCGTGGGAGCAGTACTGTTGCAGCAAGACCCGCATGGGGACTGGAGACCGTGTGCCTTCTACTCCAGGAAGCTCAGCAAGTCAGAGCAGAACTACACCATCTGGGACAGGGAGTTGCTGGCCATTCATGCAGCATTCAAGGCGTGGCGGCACTTCCTCATTGGAGCCAAACACACAGTGCAGGTCCGCACGGACCATAAAAACCTGGAGTACTGGCGCACGGCAAGGTTCCTGAACCAGAGGCACATACGATGGGCGGAGTTCTTTGCGGATTTCGACTTCAGGATAGAGTACATCCCAGGCGACAACAACATCATGGCGGATGCACTGTCCAGAAAGCCGCAATACCTCGAGGAGGCGGCACCAGCAGCGGCCAAGCACATTTTCGCACCGAAAGCGTGGGCGTGCGCTTCAGCAACCGTGGACCTGGATGCTGTACGTCGAGCACTGCAGGAGGACCCCTTCGCGCAAGCAAAGATGGCAGAGGTGCAAAGGGGCACGGCGGAGGACGACGAGTTCCAGATACGCGACGGATTGCTCATCCGCAGAGGGGCCCTCTACGTACCGGGAGACGACCTCCGCGCGAAAGTACTGCAGCAGTTGCACGACGCACCCACCGCCGGGCACTTTGGCAAAGAGAAGACGGTAGAATTAGTAGCCAGAGATTTTGGGTGGCCCAAGATGCGGGGGGAAGTCGCGGATTACGTCTCGAGGTGCGACACCTGCCAAAGGGCCAAGTCAGTGCACAAACCGCCGGCGGGACTGCTCGAACCGCTGCAGACACCGCTCGAACCGTGGGAGAGGGTGGCCCTGGACTTTGTCACGGATCTACCCAGCTCGAGGGGCAAGACGGCAGTGCTAGTGGTGGTGGACATGTTCACCAAAATGGCCCACTTCATTCCGTGCGCGAAGGTGGCCACGGCGGAACAGACCGCCAAACTGTTCATAGACCACGTGTTCAGGGTTCACGGTCTGCCACGGTCTATCCTGTCCGACCGGGGCGACAGTTCATCTCGAACTTCTGGCAGAAGCTGATGGGTTTCCTGAACGTCAAGATCAACCTAGCGTCGGCGAGACACCCGCAGACGAACGGACAAGCGGAGCGAGTCAACGCCATCATGCAGCAGTACCTGCGATGCTACGCAAATCAGCAGCCGGCAACATGGGTGGACTACCTGCCGCTCGCTGAGTTCGCCTACAACAACACGAAGCACGTGTCCACGGGGGTGACACCGTTCTTCGCCAACAACGGGAGGCATCCCAGAACCTTCCCGGGATTAGCGAGAGCGGGGAGGGGAGCCACAGGCAGCGGAAGCCTTAGCATCAGAGTTGCAGGAGGTTCACGAACAGCTTCGGAGGCAGTTAGAACTAGCAAAGCACGCATACAAACTGCAGGCTGACAAGCACAGAAGGGTTGGGGAAGACATACAGGTGGGAGACTGGGTTTGGTTAGCAGCCCAGGCAGTGCCGGCCAGATCGTTAGCGAAGAAGAAGCTAGGGCATAAGCAGCTAGGACCCTACCAAGTCGAGGCACAGGTCAATCCAGTGGCCTTCCGGTTGACACTGCCGGAGGGATCCAGAATGCACCCAGTTTTCCATAGATCAGTGCTCACGCCCTACAAAGCACCTCATAGATTTCAGGAGCCAGGAACGGCACCAGACCCGTTCAGGGAAACGCCCACAAGGGGGAGGTCGCCAAGGCGGGAACCCGTCAACGAAGTCACAGAGATTTTAGACTCGAGATGGGGGGAAGAGGGAGTAGAATATCTTCTCGCCAGAGAAGGTACCCCGGCCAGCGCCAACAGTTGGGTGCCAGACCATGCCTTGGACGAACCTTTTCTCAAGGACGAGTTTCATGCCCTTTTCCCACACAGGCCCATGCCAGCCGAGTATTTCGACGACTGGCTTTTCACACCCACATTTTCAGCTAGCACATTCCAGGGGTTCACCTCGGACGAGGAACCGGCACTAGAAACACGTTCCCCGGAGGGATCACCCTCGGGGTCTGCCTCAGACCGTTCCTATTGGTGGGACAATCAACCAGAGGAGCAGTGGCGCAGGAAGTGGTTGGGGGGTCCTTGGCAGGCAACGTCCCCGGAGGAGACCGGGGGAGGACCTTGGGTTCGAGCACGGCGGCAAAGAGATGGAAGCAGAGGAAATTGAGGTCGGCGAGAGCACGGAGGACGAGCCGGACTTATCCGGCTGGATGCACGCCACGGGGGACGACCTGTATCCGGCACTCACCCCCACACCGACGGCGCACCCTTCACCCACACCTGAAGGAGGGGAGGGGAAGGGGGGCTTCGAGGGGGATGGATGTCAGGGGTTCAGGAGCAGAGGCACAGGAAAGGGAGGAAATAGAGAGCGAGGGGAGGAGTCCGAAGGAAATGTTAGCGATGACAGCGGTCCGAGGTCTCTGAGTCTTTCCAGCGAATCGGAAGATTCACAGAAAGGGGCTCCCTTGGTCAGAGCAAGGGGGTGCCGAGGGGACACCCCAGGAAGAAGGGGCCAGAGGGGACTCAGAGAGCAGCAGTTGGAAATCAGGACCAGCGTCCACACCAGAGTGCAGTAGGGGGGGAGGAGTCCCAGGCATCGGGATCAGGCGGCGCACTGCCAGTGGGAGGACATGAGTCAGGATTGGCCACGCCTCCATCGGGGAGCGAGGAAACGGTCGAGAGGAAGGTTGAAGGCTGGGCGCGCGCGCCAAGTTCAAATGTACAGGAGGGAGGCGCAGTTGGCAGCCCGGATAGGGAGCCAGGTCCCAAAGCCCGCCGAAAAGAGGGGGAGGAGTCAGGGGGGTCAGCGTCAGAAGAATCCAGGAAGGAAGGGACCCCGGGGGGTAGCAGGACCCAGAGGAGAAAGGAGAGACGTAAGAGGTGGAGTAAGGCTAGAATCTTAAACTGGTGTACAGGGGCGGAGACTCAGATGGAGCTTCGCCGATCTAACCCCTAGACGTAGAGCTGGGGCGCTCCGGCTTGAAAATGGAAACTGTACTTCAATAAAGACTTTTGTACATTACTGCCGGCTAGCGTTGGTCCTCTGTGAGCTGGGATCTGTTGTAGCCATTATATGCATTATAGACAAATAGTATGCGTGAATTAATCTCAAGACTGAACTGTCTCGGACAACCTCTACTCCGAATAATTTTATTGCACTCTTATTATGATGGCAACTGTTTCCACTTAAGTTTGCACCCATTTTCCATCTGCAGTCAATCCTGATTTGTTCTGGAATACTGTTTTTGCCTAATGCCATAGAATTCATATTTTGTGCAACACCATATTACAATTTAGGAGGTTAAATTTGTGTGGAATTTAGTGTATATTTTGTCTATCATTTACCATCTCACAATTTGGTTTGAGATGATTTTGCTTTACATTCTGCCTTCCTTCCAGTGCAGCCTAGGGTGGAGGAATGGCAACAGAAACAAAACATGAAAAAACAACAAGTAAAAGTAGCTAAAAACATTCCTATAGCATTTAGCATACAGTACAATCTCTTTGAAATTGATAACGTTTTATGAGAGTAACCAATTTTAAGTAACATAATAACATAGTATGCCCATTAAGTAAATGTCCTGAATTTGCAACAAACTGAAAAGCAGCCAAATATTACCACCAACTCTGCTGTCTAGCTTAAACTTAAAATATTTATGATGTGTGCTTGAAATTGTATACTCCTGCTCAATAGTCTTACTTGTTATAGAGAGTTCAAAAATATTTGCTGATGGTTAGATTGGTAAACTTGCCTCAGGGTTCAAATATTACAACGAGAGCTTGATTTGATCTGTGATCAGTTCATTCTAACTGATGGGAGACAATATTGAACTTAGTTTTACTCAGGGCAGGACCATTGAAATTAATGAACATTACTAAGTTGGTCCATTAATTTTGCTGGGTCTACTGGGAGTAAAACTTAAATTGAATGCCACCCTTAATGTAAAAACAGGCCTTTCTCAGTGAGGATAAAAATATAAGCAAAAGGATCAGCATTTATGGGCAAATGCCAGAGCACAGGATATTGTAAGAGATACTGGCAGCTTCCTACTTTTTCCTGTTTTTTGTGGGATGAGGAAAACAAAAGCTGTTTAGGGAAGTTTTTAATGTTTGATGTTTTATTGTGTTTTTAATATTATGTTGGCCCAGAGTTGGCCCATAAACTGCCCAGAGTGGCTGTGGAGACCTGGCCAAATGGGTGTGGTATAAGTAATAAATTACTACTACTACTGCTACTACTATAAAAACTGCTGGAGCTCCAGTAGGCAAGGCTTTTTCCTCTTCTGACTTTCTGGCAGGTGAAGAACCTGAGTTTTCTTATATTCTCGTTTCCTTCAAAATTTCTGCTTCTCACTCTACAAAACATTCTGCTTGTGCAGGTATCTTAATGCAATTCAGACAATGTGCCCACATATTCTTCGATATCTGACTACAGCAGTAATAACAAACAAAGATGTTCGGAAACGTAGGCAAGTGCTGAAAGACTTAGTCAAGGTTATTCAGCAGGTAAGGCATACTTTGCTCATACTGCTAATTATAAAATGCCTACTTCCTAAGTATGACTGTATTTGAACAGAGGCTGTGCGCCTTACCAGACTGTTGCTATTATGGGGTGGGATCAGTCACATGCCAACAAATTCATGTTGTGCAATTATCACTGATTAGGAGGTCTGGCACAACAAAACTGCTTCCTCAAAAGATCAGACTTTTTATGATACAAGAAGTAATGGGAAAATCCACTGGAAAGTATGGGATAGCACTTGATTTGACGCAATAGGATCTAATCTCTCTGCAAACAAATCAGGATGAATGCTCAGTTAACAAGCACCTGGAAGCACCTATACCAAGTTGAAACTTTGTTTTTAGTAGCAACATCAAAAGCTTGTAAGGAGCTTATTATAATAATTCGGGATGAGTTCTGTGGTGCTCATTGGTGCCAAGTTGGGGACTCCAGCAATAAGTGATTTTTGATACAAATGTTTGGGGGTATAATTTGGAGTTACTCACACAACTATTCTTCACTATGCAGGAATCCTATACCTATAAGGACCCAATAACAGAGTTTGTAGAGTGTTTGTATGTGAACTTCGACTTTGATGGAGCTCAGAAAAAGCTGAGAGAATGTGAATCGGTAAGAGTTTTGTTAAAAGATTACACTTGTTAATAACAAAGAGCCTATATGTTGGCCACGGATTCATTATATTGCCCCAAAACAAAAACCTCCATGTATTCATAATCTCTTGTTTAAAGTGTCAATTAATGTTTGAGAGAGCTGGGAATATTGGGGAAATGTGCCGCTACCAGTAACACAGTGGCTTGAGATGGCTCAGATCTGGGGCTACATGATTAGCATCCTGCTCATCTAATCTTCAACCTCAGCAACCTAACACTAGATTGTCTGGGGCTAGGTGAGCTGGAAACTTCCTCAGTCTCATCAGTACAGTGTTTTGAAGGGTATTTTTACTTCTTTTTCCCAGTGGTCTGTGGGAGAATTCAAGGGGTTAATTGAGGTAAGGGTATGTATGTTTCATACTGTGAATCCACAGTCCTAATTTTACCTTTCCTTTCAGGATATTTTTAAGGGCTTGGCGTTTGTAACTGAGTGATTGTCAGAGCTTTGGCGTTTTTCTCACCCTTTTAATTCCTGTATGGCTTCTTGCAGGTTCTTGTGAATGATTTCTTCTTAGTGGCATGTCTGGAAGACTTCATTGAGAATGCTCGTCTCTTTATATTTGAGACTTTCTGCCGCATCCATCAGTGCATCAGCATAAAGTAAGAAAACTAAAAGCTCAGTAGGAAAACTCTCTTAGTTTGGTAACACATTGTACTTAACGGATAATGTCATGAAGTTGCTTCAATAGTGGTTGAATTGTAAGCTAAAAAGAACTAACAGTATGGCAACATTCAGCCATCGTACTAAACCAGGGGTGATGGCGCCTTGTAACTAGCTTTCATCCAGGGGTCTGGGTTCTTCCCTCTAGCCCATAGGGAGCAGCTGAAGGGATAAAGGGCCTTGAAGTTGTGCAGTTGCAGGTCCTTGTTTTATTTAATTGAATAATTTGTATACTACTTCATGTTTCAAAGAAATCTCAGTGGTTTGTATCCTAGAAATGCCACAAAGATACAACAATAACATTTTAGATCAGAAGAGTTGCATGACACCTTAAACACTGATGTAATCTGAAACAACGTATGGGAACCATAAGAACTACTGTCAGATCTAAAATTCAGCAAAGAAACCAGCCCACCCATCAAATATACAAGCAGTATATTTCAGAAACAACTGATTATACCTTTAAAAATAACACAGAAAGTTTGACATCACTGTGGGCTACCTACAGGAGCAGTGAGTTAAAATTATTTTAGATGTTGGAGACTTGTTAAGTGCCTTCAATGTTCTGAAAAATTAATGGAAAGAAAATCTTGTTCTGTGCCATTATGATCCCAAAGGGTATCATTCCGACAAAACTTTTGAAAGTACTATCTGCTCATCTTAACTTGCATGTGTGTGCTTGTTTGTGTCAGTAGGCACATATAAGTGGCCCTGACCAGGAAGGGAGAGCAGAGATTCCCATGTCTCGTTAAGTGTGGTGCCTTCTACTAAATATTTCAGAGCTTTATTGCAGAAGTCATAAACCATACATCCTGAAAGTTTTCTCTGTCATCTTCACCATTATAGTCAGCCAGTGTGTGAGAGGCTGGACATGTGAATTTCAGATCTTCTCTCAAAATTGCCACATCATGCTGACCTGTTAGGATCAAACTTAAAAGTGCAGTTCCTCTGCACTAAGTTCCTGGCTTCAGACAAGAGCAGTGATTGAAGCTATTAAGTGTATATAGACATGACTATTGGGGAAGAAATATGAATAAATCAATGCAGTTCAGGGAGGAAGTGCGTTTGACTGAGTCTTCTTGCTTGATTAGTCATTGTAACCCAATGGATGGTACAATTTGTTTTCAACAACAGTACAGCACCTCAAACCAAAGAGACACAGATCAAACCTTAATTTTCATGCAACCCCACACCTAAAAATAAGTAGCTCAGTCAATATATTTAAAACTGTTTTCTGAATAACTATTGAGGGAGTATGAGATATTTTTCTAAAATGAGATAAAATAATTAAAACTGATTAGCAGTTCAGTTTGGAACCTCAATATTAGGGACCAGGATAAAAATTCGTAAATAAATATGCCTAATCTGGTTTCAGAGTTACTGTTTCCATATGGTCTTTCATATTATTCTTCAGACAACAAATTTGAATATCTGAAGGAGCAAGTAGAAAGATGTGAGGGCAGTCCTGCCCTTTCAGTGATACTTTGTGAGCTCACTGGCCAATGCACAACCACCATTAGTTTGATGCAAGATGTCTCATGTGTAGGATTTTAACCTGAGGAGGGGGAAACACTTTTAACAAATTACTGGGTAGTTGAAGTTCCACGGCTGAGAGAATAATCCTGCAAATTTAATAACTTAAAAGTATGTTGTCTTAACACAGGCAGCCAGAAGGCAAAGTAACTAAACTTCAGTAGAATGTAGACAGAGATTGCATTAGGGAATGATTAAAACAGAGGTTCCAGTGTAGCATGTTGGCCAGGTTTCAGGTTAAAAACAGTGAGCATTTCTGAAGTCCAGCAGCTAGGGGAATTTTCAAGTTTATAATTCTCAAGGAAATGAAGCACCAAAAAGGAGAGAGCCCAAAACTTATTAGAAAGCCACAGGAAATGCCATCTGCAGAGTGTCTGTTGACAAAGCAGCAGATCTGGGCTGGCTCTTGTAAAGAATAAGAAACTGAGAAAACATTGGACATAAAGCGACCTCCTTGAGAGAGCGATCATATTGTTACAAACCTATGTCTGACTCTCAGATATTGGGAACAAGTGTTCTGAGGCAACACATAGAAATGCCATCTGCCCAGTGCTTTATTACTAATTGAATTAACATGAAACCCATCCCTGCAATGGTTTACTTTGTCAAAAAGCAGGCAGACATTTAGCAAATGAAAAGTAGTGTAGAGAGTCCTTTTATAGTGTGTGTTGCTGTCCTAATGATTAGCTACTTACCTAACCAAATCTAATTCCTTCTAATTTCTGGCCCATTATAATTGGCCTTCTCCTTCATAAATTTAAACTATTGTGACTAGTGTAACATGGTTTTTAAACAGTGTACATGAAATGATCTATGAATCTCTCTCATTTCTAAAGGGTTGTGTTATTAGCTGCTCTCAACATGAATCAGATGGACAGTGAAGTGTTTCACACAATAACATCAGCTTATTTCTATGAATACCTCTCGGTTGTTTTGTTTTTCTTTTGTAGTGTAAATGGGCAGATGAGTCCACAGTGGATCAAACTTTATGAATTGTAAACAGTCGGCCAGTTGTCTCCCTGATGCTAAATTTAAAGGGCCTTTATATGTGTTAGGATTAATTTTAACCTAGAATATTCTGTGGTGCAAAAAGGTGTTTTCGCTTTTCTATGTATCCCTCTCTTGTTGCTGTCAGCTGTTAGAATACCAGTGTTTAAAACAGGCTAAAACACTGCAAAATTTGCAAAGATGCTGGAATCATCAGGCATATTATTTACAATTATTTAGCATGTTCTCTAATGTTTCAAACTTTATTAAGTGTATTTCTTCTTCTTCTTCAGTATGTTGGCAGATAAGTTAAATATGACCCCTGAAGAAGCTGAGCGATGGATTGTGAATTTAATTCGGAACGCAAGGCTTGATGCCAAGATAGATTCAAAATTGGTAGGTTTCCCATTGCATTGCACGGCATAATCTGATTTATTAAGGGGAACTCTTAAAACTCATTACTAGCTGCAAGATCTCATGGCTACAGTATCCTGCCTAATTCTGTATTTTTGTTGGCTTTCCCCCCTGCTGCTGCTGCTGCATTGAGTAACATTTAGCCCAGGGATGGGGAACCTGTTGCAACTCCCTTCAGTATTTGCCAGCATGGCAAATGGTCAAGTATGATGGCAGTGGTAGTTCCATTATTTGGAAGGCCACGGGTTCCATGTTTTTGAAAATGTGGTCACTTATTTTGTGACATTTTGGTTGTTCCTAATACAGTTGTTGCCCAACTGGATTTTACTGAAGGGCTTTTTGCTGACTCCTGCTATCTTCTCCCCTCCCCCATGGCCCTGCAGCTCAGTATTTTATACTAAAATGACCTTTAGCACTTTTTAAATGAGGAACAAGAGTACACCACTCCAAGATGCATGGAATGGGTGGCTTTAGATGAATATTTTAGATGTATACCTGGGTCATGCAACAAAATGCTGCTCAGGGTGCCAGGCTCTGCATTTCATGATCTCTGACCATGCTCAGTTCTTATTGGGCTGCTTTGTGTTCTCTCCCACCCTGCCCCACCACCTTTGCAGGGCTTTTCCTGAAGTTTTTGGACTTATGCCAACCTATAAGTCCCCCCAAGCCTGCTGCTACTTCTGCCTTATGCATGGATGTTGCCATTTTAGATACAATCTCAGATTGATGGATTTGATTATTTTGGCCATATTTGATTTGCCTCTATTATTATTTTGTTTTGTGTAGACGCATTATGTTTCAGCTTGTTAGTCTGATCTGAATTTGCTTATAATGTAGTGGGGCAGGGTTTTGAAGCTGGGGGAGGGCATAGAAGATCAAGGATGTGATAAGTACTTTATAATTACTTTCAGCATGTTCCTAGTCTCACTGTCTCCTCCCACCCCCCAACCCCCCTACATTCTCATGTTAGGACTCCCGGCATTTAAGCAGAGATTTGGTGACCAAATCCCCAGGAGAAAGTGTGCTTTTTGTTCACCTGTTTTCAGCTCTTGTCCCAAATTAATTGGTACATTTAGGGATCGGTTGAGATGCAGATCAGAAATTTGTTGAAGGATAAATGCAGTACTAGAAAACTTACATATGCCTTGTGTATGCTAACCAAGTATAGAATGGGGTGAGATGGATTTTGTAACATTCGCTAAACATCAAGAGTATTAGAAAGTTAACTGCAACCCTGTTCATCAATGACGTAAATATGAAGGGAATAAAATCTCCATCAATGTGTATGCCCATAAGTTTTCTTCCATAAGGAAGGCAAATAATACCCTGTAAATTTTGTATCCCGTACAAAACCTGTTTTCAGCATTTGAGGCAATATTTGTGTATATTTTTTGTAGGGCCATGTTGTTATGGGAAACAATGCAGTATCACCTTATCAGCAAGTGATTGAAAAGACCAAAAGCTTGTCTTTCCGGAGTCAGATGTTAGCTATGAACATTGAGAAAAAACTGAACCTAGGCGGTAGGGCTGAGGTAAGTCCATGTTGTCCTGCCAGTATATTATTAATTTAAGTAGAAATCTCCAAAATGGAAATTCATAAAGGATTACAGTGAGATGGTTAAATATAACTTGCTTGTCTCTAGGGTTGGAATATGGAATAGGTTTATTTTATTTATTTATTAAAAGACTACTATACCACTTTTCATTTATGGAAAGAAATACCAAAATGATTCAGAGTAAAAAAAAAAAGTGAGAGAGAGAGTAACAAATCCAGTAGAAGCAATAATCAGTACAAATCACAGAAAGCAGCATTAATAATATTAAGGGTCATGGAAAGCCTGCATGAAGAGGGGTGTTTTCAATTGGCAACAAACACCCCCTGCAGCCGTTGCTCCCTTGGTCTCTGGGAGAGCATTCCACATGGTGGACACCACAACAAAGAAGAAAGTCTAGTGCCCTAAATTTCTTGAAAGTAGATTCATGTATACACTGCTAAAGTTATCCACAGCAACGTGTGTTACTCTGACTAAAGCAGATTTAGAAATATTTTCCAAATAATTAGTTTTTATTAGCTTTGAATGCCAAACACTTTGTGTCCTGACTTTCAAATTTGCTTCTTCTTTTTAAAGGCACCTAATTGGGCTACTCAAGACTCTGGCTTCTACTGAAACACTTCTCGGGAAGAAAGACAACTTGATAAGAACTTTAATTATGTACTGTTTTGAAGAGGTGGCAATTATGTGGACTTTGCAGCACATGTTGATTTGAATAAAATTGGCTACTTTTAATTGACTGGTTGTCTATCTTTATAATTGGATTTGTAAAAGGTTTTTGTTCAAGGCAGCAAAGCTAGCAATTCATGAGAAGCTGTAGAAATCTAATTTAAAGTTTAAAGGAATCGCTTAAACTTCCAAGTACAATTGCTAAAAAACCCTACGATCTAAGCTCCCATTCGATATTATTTTAATAAAGAATCAAATTTGCTGTGTATGAGCACTAGATTTATATATACTTGGACAGTGGGTGTGGGTCTTATTCTTTCCAAGAATAAATAGAAATGGTACCCTTGATTTAAGACATCCCTTCAACAGAGATGTCTGCTGTTCCCTTGTAGCCTGTCTTATAGAAACCAGTGGCCAACATCTAATATGTTGCAGTTGTCACAAGAGTTTCACAGCAACAGGTAGAAAAAGTATTATCATGAATCTACATGTAGATTACTGTGTGGTGGTGTATCTTGAAAAGGAAACTGAAATTATCAGGGCAATAAGCAATGTTTGTTTATTTACTGCACAGGTAACAGGATAAAAATCAAAGGGTGTGAAGAGTGAATGGGGATGAGCTACTCTTTCAAGGAAGTCTATACAACCTGTGTAATTGTTCTTCTATATAGTCTATAATGACTACTACCATAAGCTGCTGATTTTCGTGCAATGGGACTTGCATTAAGAAATGAGCTTTCCCCAGGATCTATATTAGGGGCATGTGTTTTTTTTAACTTCATAAATTATCTGGAGTTGGAGGGGAACAGTACGGTGGCCACATTTGCAAAGGATGCTGAATTATTCAGGATAATGTAAACTTTCGAATGAAAGCTCTCTCTCTCTCTCTCTCTCTCTCTATATATATGGGCAACAAAACAACAAAGGTAGTTCAATTGTGGTAAAGTGATTTGCACAGCTGCACTCCCTTAACACACACACTGATGGGGTTTGAATTGTTGATAGCTAGCCAAGGGAATACCTTGGGGATAGCTCACTGAAAATAGTGCATGACAGCTGTGAAAGACTAATTCTTAGCTGGGGGTTTCTTTTTACAGTGGTAGCCTTGCCAGGCAAACTATAATGTTGGTTTTAAACGTTTTAAGGTATTTTAACCATTGTTCTTAACTATCGTGTTTTTATGACTCTGTATTTTGAAGTGGTGTTTTTGGATGTTGTAAGCTGCCTTGAATTTGAGAGAAAGGTGGGGTATAAATACAAACATTAATAAAGTTGTGGGACTCTAAGCTTGCCTCGGCTCCAGCCAGCAAGGCCAGCTAAGCAAGATAATGGTAGCTGTACTCTCAACTGGAAGATCACAGGATAGCCACCCTGATTTCATAAGGAAAGATATCGGATTAGTGGACTGCCCATCCATTATACAACAGTAGTAGGGAACATGTTGCCCTCCAGATGTTACTGGCTTATAGCTCTCATAACCCCTAACCACACTGGTGGGGAGTCGCAGAGTTGGAAGTGCAATAGCACCTGCAGGACCACAACTTCCCCACTCTTGCTATACAGCTAGTGCCTTTGTATTTCTTACAGTTATTCTGTTAGCCATATCTTAACAAGAATATTTCAGGTTTCAGGTTTTAATAGTTGTTAATCTTTCCCTTCATATTCAGGTAGGTAGCTGTGTTGGTCTGACACAGTCAAAATAAAAATTGTCCAGTGGCACCTTGGAGACCAGCTAAGTTTGTTCTGGGTATAAGCTTTCATGTTCTGGGTATAAGCTTTTGTGTGCATGCACACTTCTTGAAATGAAACTCAACATGCACTGAAAGCACACTGTAGGAACCACGTAGCTGATTTTAAACTGTAATAATAATAATAATAATAATAATATCCACTTGGGAGTTGAAAGTTCTTTAAAAGGTCAGAGAAAATAAAAGGTGACACATGGTAAGATGGAAAGGTGAGCCATGTTCCAGGTTAAACCTTCTAGAAAAGGAAAGTATGCATACCTGAGTGAGAATACTGCTATGGATCAGTTACTCTCACTTCTTAAAAAGCAGCTTGTTTCTTTGGGGCTGTGATCTGCTGCAGCTAAACAAGCTCTAGCCATGTCTGTGGCTCCTCTCCCTGCACACAGATGTCCATTCTTTGGATCCAGGCCTATTATATAACTGCCAAATAAGCATTAAAGCAACTTGGATTGCGTAATTTTCACATTACTGCTTGATTGTAGTCAACAAAAGCGCTCTTGTGTAATAATTTAAAGATTCTTTTTTTCCCCCTTTTAAAAATGAGATTAAAGTGGAATGCTGTTGTAAACACTGCGAGAAGCTGCCAACATACTTTCCCTATCAAAAAGCGGCTCATTTCTAAAAATACCACTCTGTAATGCTGACCTTTTTTATTATTTAAGAAAACAGGTTTGAGTTATTCCATTTTAATAAAGGATGTAGAATATTTCCAGAAAGACTATCCCGTTTGTTTTGATCTTCTATCAGGTGTAAATGAACACTAAGGAGACTCTGAAGCCTGCACCACTTCCTCTAATTTTTAATTCCGACTCATCTTCATTGGTGAGTGGAGTGCTAGGCATTGAATGGTTCAGGGCCCTCAGAGGTTTTCTTTTGTATGCTGCCTAAGAGAAACTGTCTATGCAAAACCCACCTGTTCATGGGTTATTTACATGAGACGAAATGAATACAGCGTATAATGATGCATTTGAATGAGCCTTTACGTGTTACCCTTGCCTTTATTAAAAGGTGGAATTTATTACTATGCTATCACAAGCTGGTCTCTGACTGTAATAAATTTCATGTTCATGTTACTATCCTAACATGAGAAGAGAGCCACTACCAAAAGCACAAGACAGAAAACCAAAATTGTTAATGTAGAAGTACAGCGTTCTAAACTGAAATTGAATCACACTAATAATGACTTTAAATACTATTAAGATATGAAACATGGGCATTTGAGAGGATATTTTCCTTCATCTGAACACACACACACACACACACACACACACACATCTTCACATACAGTGGTACATTGGTTCTCAAACTTAATCCATTCTGGAAGTCCGTTCCAAAACCAAAGCGTTCCAAAACTAAGATGTGTTTTCCCATAGAAAGTAAGGAAAAATTGATTAATCTTCCAGACTTTTAAAAACAACCCCTGAAACAGCAATTTAACATGAATTTTACTATCTAACGAGACCATTGATCCATAAAATGAAAGCAAGAAACAATGTACTGCAGTCACACAATCGGTAGCTGAACTGGGTTCCGCACAGTCACAAAGCAAGCCGGAAAACGAAAACACAAAATAAATAGCAAAAACAGACAGACTTCAGCGTAACACTCAAACTGGAAGTGTGGCACTCAAATCAGAAGTGTAACACTCAAAACGGAGCACGTTCGGCTGCCAAAAAAAGTTCGGAAACCGGAACACTTACTTCTGGGTTTGCAGTGTTTGGGTTCCAAGTTGTTTGAGTACCAAGGCGTTTGAGAACCAAGGTACCACTGCACTTCACTATAGAGACTGATATGAGAGAGACATGTTTTGTTGCAGCTGGGGCAAATGAAGGTGTCTGGTTGCTGCTGCAGATGCACCGTGGCATTTCTCTCTGCGCTCCTCCCGGCAGTCAATCCTCCTCTGGTTGCTGCTGTGGATACATGTTCTGTCCGTCTCCAAGCACTGCGGTCGTCTGCAAGGGATTCTCACATGGCGGGGTTGATGCTGCCAGCCTCCATGTCATATTTGCATACATCTTTGTAACACAGAGTTCATCTGCCAGCGGAGGAGACCGGTATTCAAATTCTCATTCAGCCATAAAACTCACTGGGTGACCTTGAGACAGTCACTGACTCTTAGCTTACTTTACAAGGCTGTGGTGAGGGTAGAAAGGTGGTATAGAAATACAATGACCATACTGTATTTTTCGCTCCATAAGACGCACTTTTCCCCTCCTAAAAAGTAAGGGGAAATGTGTGTGTGTCTTATGGAGCGAATGCAGGCGGGAGGCTCTGTCGGCGCTCCTTTTAAAGAGCCACGTGGAGTGTGTGTGCGGCTCTTGGGGGCTTTTCCCCGAGGAGGGAGAAGGGCTGCCCTTCTCCCTCCTCAGGGAAAAGCCCCCAAGAGCTACACACATACTCCACATGCTCTTTAAAGGGAGAACGGCTCTTGGGGGAGCCTTAGCCACGTGCAGCCTCTCCCGGGCAGGGGATGAAGGCTCCCCTTGCCCGGTAGAGGCTGCACGCAGCTAAAGAAGCAGCCAGGACAGCAAGTGGGATCCATCCCGCTGGCTGTCTTGGCTTATGCCGGAGAGGCTGTGCTGCGATCCCGCTGTTCTAGCTTCTGGCTTAGCCGCTCGAAGCCTCCGCAGGGTAGCGGGGAGCCTTCATCCCGCTCCCCTGCAGAGGCTTCCTGCGACTATTCCTGGCTTTTGCAGAGGCTTCCTGCTGCTATCCCTGGGAGGGGGGGCAGCTCTGTCCCTTCCCCCACCTCCCAGAAAAGCCCTCAAGAGCCACGCTCCCTTTAAAGAGTGTGCGGCTCTTGCGGGAGGAAAGCCAGTAGGCTTGCTTTCGCTGAAGCCAGGAGGGCAAGCGGGATTGGTGCGCACCGATCCTGCTTGCTCTCCTGGCTTCAGGGGTAGCCCCACAAAGCCTCCTGAGCGAAGACGGAGGAGCACTCCCTCTTAGCTCAGGATGCTTTGCGTTCCTTTCTTATTTCTTGTTTTCCTCCCCTAAAAACTGGGTGTGTCCAATCGTCCAGTGCGTCTAATAGAGCGAAAAATACAGTAGATAGCATGATGGTATTGTGATTGTCTACAAAACTAAGGGTATGGAAGAAGGTGCAGGTCCTGATATATTTCTTTTATGCCTAGACCAATAGCCAATCTTTTTTTTTAGTTAACAGGTGCTTCCAACTTCTTTTGTCTATGTAAGGAAGAAAAGGATACGAACGTCTAAGACGTGTGCCATTTTCCAAGGGGAAGGGAAGTCAAAACAGCTGATGAGGATATCCACAACAATGTCAAAAAAAAAAAAAAGAGGTCTTCAGAGCAGTGATTAACATCTTAGTCAATGTTCAGCACAGTAAAATGTCTGGTGCAGAAGAAAGCCTGCTTGTAATCTTTTGTTAGAAATGCATGATCTCACTACGAATAGATTCATGAGCGTGCTGAGAGATGGGTTTTATTACGAGCAAAGATAAGCAAGGAAAACAGATTGTAAAAGTCAGAACTTCTCAAGCAAGGGTATGGAATCAGCTTTAAACTTCTGGGGTATGTCATGCTTTTCAAGAGAGATGCTTGACTGGAGAGGTTTATTAGCTTAGTCTGATGCAGTCTTGTGTGAGATCTACCATCCTACATCACCCCAATAGTTTGCCCCTTTCCCTCCCTCCAACAAGACGCCAGAAACTGATCTCTTCAGTGGGATAAAAACCAATCATAATTAATTATACAGAGCTGAACTCAGAGCATGTTCTTGAACTCGGAACATGAAGGTCTAAATTGCATTGACTGAATATTCTGACTGATGGCTATTTGACCATCCTGCTCTTTCTAGAATCCCACTGAGGGAATGCTATTGGGGTTAGAATGGAGAAGTAGTCGGTGGGAAAGATTATGCTTCCTCTTTGTTCCAATTTGTACCCTGTAGATAGCATCTTTTCAGGAGGTCCTGAAATGCCATAATCAGGCATTTAGTGTGGCAGCACTGATCCACTGGAACTCCCTCCTGTTACATATCAGACAGTTGCCATCTCTGTGGTCATTTGGACATCTGTTGAAGACAATCCTTTTTCAATAAGCTTTCTAAGTGGATATTTTTATCCCGCTCGGCATCTGTATTGGCTTTGAAATTGTTTTTATATCTGCAATTGTGATATAGTTTATTGTGAAATCACTTTGAGATGCTTCATAGGAAGCGATTCGTAAATGAAATAATAGCAACAGCAACATAACGCTTTACTAAGTGTGCATGGGATTGTAGTATTCATGGTAGTTTTGACTTCCTACATGTAAGTTCTGCATATGGTAGTGGTCGAGAATCTTCTTGGGCCCAATTGCTTTTAACAGATATAATATTGGATGCACTGCTGTCTTGGTTTTTAAAAAATCTAATACATTTTTCTACATGTGTCGATTCTGTATAGACAGACACTTTCCTAATTTCATTAGCAAGGGCTATCTCTTATGTTATTTAACACACCACTATTTAACACACCACTATTTAACACACCCGCCTCTCCAAGTGTCTTGTACATGCCTTCAGATCTCAAGAACAGAAATTCATTCTACAAAACCAGATATAGCTATTAGAATCATGGAATTGTAGAGTTGGAAAAGGCCCCAAGGGTCATCTAGTCCAACCCCATTTAATGCAGGAATCTCCATGACAGATGGCCATCTAACCTCTGCTTAAAAGCCTCCAAGGAAGGAGAGTCCATAACCTCCCAAGGGAGAGAGATCATCCCACTGCTGATCAGCTCTTACTGTCATAAAGTTTTTCCTGATGTTTAGTTGGAATCTCCTTGACTAAACTAATCTGGAAGCATAAAGTCATGTGACCAGGCCCTGGGTGGGGTCCATTTGGGACTTTGGACAAGCACCCTGGCAGCTGCTCTTGGCTCAGTGCTTTGCCCTCCCCTCCGCAAACTGCAAGAGAAGGCTTCAATCAAAACAGTATCTTGTTATATAGCTTATCTTTCAATTCTATTACAGAAAGAGAAGACTTGGATTACTTGAAGCATCTGTGTGCCAGTTCAGAGCTGAAAAGCAACACCCACTGCCAACAAAATTGTTGCCTTCGGGCTTTATTTATTCATTTATTTAGGTAACTCCTGTGCTCCCCTGGAAAGGTATCTGCAGTGGGTGCGGGAGTATTAAACAAATTGTGAAGTCGGAGGGAAGTCTTGCTGAAGTGTTGTTTGAAGCAAAAGTGAAATAGAGAAATATATACAAGCTTTTAAACAAAGTACTCAATGCAAAATGAGCAGTAGGAAAGCTGTCACCAACACACACTCAACAAGGCATGTGCAATACACGAATGTTGCAAAGGTGGCGGCCCATGATAAGTGCTATTTCCAACCAAAAGAATGTAGGGAGCTGGCCTGTATTGAGCAAAATGTTAGGCCACCTTGCCCAATAGATATACTGACTGGCTAGCAGCTCTCTGGCCAGAAGCACAGGTGGGCAGCCCCTCACCTGTCATTCCCTCTTATGGGTGATCTGTAGAGGGCTGCATGCTAATGGTAGTCTATGGCTGATGATGGGCAGAGCCTAAGACAAAAGTGGTCTGGAATAACTAAGTTAAGCAAAGTTCATCCCGCTAGTGATGCAAAAAGGAATTGTTTTTCATTTCACTCTGCGTTTCTCGCCCGCAGCGCTGTTTCTGTTCTACTGCATTTCGTCTGCCAAAAATGATGCTATTTGCCTCACTGTCTGATGAGGCAAAACGAT